TTATCTATCTATCTATCTATCTATCTATCTATCTATCTATCTATCTATCTATCTATCTATCTATCTATCTATCTATCTATCTATCTATCTATCCATCTATCTATCTATATACTTACCTACCTACCTACCTCAGTATATTAGGAAATGGAGTAGAAAAGGGTGGATATAGGTAACAGGTAATTACAGATGGGGAAAGATAGGGAAAGGCCTTCCAAAGTAGACAGAGAATGTTCAATGGGACTTGTATTTTGTTCAGTTACCTGGATGTTAGGCAAGTATTGATCTATCTGGAACTAAGGAGAGAAATGCTAATCTGGCCCTCTACCTTCCCCAAGGGTTATCATTAGAAGATGGCCTTTGTCCTACCGAGATGATAGGGCAGGATGGGGACTCCAGGGCATGGATGAGAATCTCTGGTACCCCTACCTACTCACCTCTGGACTTCATTCTAGATGACATTGATGAACATTCTGAACAAAGACAAATATAACTTCAATTGCAATCGCTGGCTGGATGCCAATGAGGATGATAACGAGATTGTGAGGGAAATGACTGCAGAGGGTCCAACAGTGCGGAGAATAATGGGCAGTAAGTACTGACTGGCTCTCCATCTTGGGGGAGACAGTGGAGCTCCAGCTTGATGTGCCAGTGGGATTCTGACCATGAGCTGATGGTTTTGTCTACTGGGCACCAGCAGTATTTCTTAATGCCACAGCATTTAGAAGGCCAGAGCTTCAAGACTAGTTTGAGGTACTCATCTTCAGGGCATGTAATGCTAAAACTCCACCATGACAGGTGTAGTGTGGAGGGAAGGGACACTGATGGGCATTCCATTTGGCCATGAAAGAATGAAAAGGATCTGCATAAAACAATAGTTCTATATGGCCTCCTTGAAATGAAATCTCTTCTTGTACCATTCAAATTATAAAATTTTGAAAGTGTTTTCCCAAAAGGAAGACTGGATCAAATTATTGTAGCCACACTTGCCTACTACCTAGTGAGTCTTCTATTTCTATTTAAGTCCAGTAGGTATTAAGCTTTTTATCTAGAGTCCAGCATTCACTTCCAAAAATCCAAAAGGAGGTGATTTTGCCTCTACATTATAGTAGTAGAGTACTGGTAAATGTTCTATTCTCTTTACATGACAGGCATTACTAAATGATTGCAGCATTCTCTTTCACTGACTCTGAAATGAGCTTGTAGCTCTCGATATAACACTGATATTAAAATTGGCATTTAAGATAATGAATCCATTTGTTAACCTTGTGGCAGTCCTTAATTTTTTTCAATAATAAAATAATATTGCAAAAATCACAAAAGGTTAAGAAGATATGGCAAATGAGGGCACCCATGGTTCCTGAACTACAAAATAGTTCAACTATGTCATTCACAGATTATCTTGATACTTATGAAAACTCTGTTTTCAGAGAAGAAGCTTTACATTTATTTGTTAGATAGGTTTGTTTAGAGATATACTCAAATACACAACATACACACACACACACACACACACACACACACACACACACACACAAAATCTCCCAAATAGCTAGTACCTAAAATAAGACCATTTAATCTGTCAGTTTAACTAGGTAAGCTTGCAATCACATTTACTCTATTTTATGGTTCATTTTCATTTCTTAAGTATATTACTGAAGAATATTTGCATTTGGACTGGAAGCATGGCTAAATGGTAGAGCACCAGCTGAGCAAACAAGTTGAGCAAGCATAAGGTTCTGAGTTCAAACCTCTATCTATCTATCTATCTATCTATCTATCTATCTATCTATCTATCTATCTATCTATCTCTATCTAGATGATAGCCTGATGAATAACTGAGGAAGTTATTTGCCACAATTAATCCATAAGCAACAGCAAGATCTTAAATAGACGTTTTGCTTCATGGCTTTGTGTCTATTGTATCTATCTTTTTATAGTCTGGCTTATCTTTTTTATAGTCTATCTTTTTATAGCTCTACCTCTTTATAGTTAATAATACTTGCCTTGGAAACAAAGCTATCATCTATCTGTAAATATGACAGCACCATATGACTCTACCCACCCTCACCCCCCATCCATCTAATTGGAACTTTCTGTGATATGTAGTCCATCAAAGCAGAAATTCATCTACTCTTCCCTAATCTATCCATGAAGTGTGCCAGAACTGAATCTATAGATGCAAAGAATGGGGAACTTAATTGATTTCTATACTTTCTTATCAATACTCATGATTTGGCGCTCTGTCTTTCCTAAGCTCTTTTTGTGGGTTGCTTCTCAAAATTTTACAACTGATAGCTCTGGACCAACCAACTTTCTCTGGCCTGCTACATTAAGTGTTCTCTAATTTCCAGGTGCTTGGTCATTTAGAGTGCTTGTTAAAACAAACTTCTGGGTCCCACTGCAGTTATAGATTCAGTAGTTGTAGAGCAGACCCCAAGAATCTACTTGTCTAAGAAATTCCTTGGGGGACCCACACTTTGAGAACCACTATAATAATGTACTGATCACTTTTCCAGCTGTTCTGCAGCTCCCCAAATTTTGTTGTTTCTATACTTGTTCCTCTACTTCCAGTCTTGGTTTAAAAAATGAAAGAAAAGAAAAAGAAAGTTGGCTTGGTTTAAATGACTTGTAGTTTGTCAATTTAGTAAGTTTTTTCCTAAGAGAAATTTGTCATTTTTTTTTACTTCAAATGCTCCAAATGTTTTTTTAATCTGTTCTCTCTTTGCCTTGACTGAACCCCATTTCCTTCATCAGAAATTGTGGAGCAAGGAGGGAGCTCTGGACATCTTTTTGACCCACTCTGTACTTGTAGACTGTTGCTGTGGGTATCATGAAATTGTCACCTCCCACAGTTCAGTCTTCCAGGGACCTTGTGTCACCTGCCCCAATTCACTGAAGGTGGTGTAATGTACCCTATTCTGTAGACACCGACTCCTTCCACAGTCCTAGGACAATGCATTAGCTTACTGGGGTGTCTACAACAAATCTCTCTAAAATGGATGTGGCTCAGATGAAGGAATTTATTTACTAGTTACTGGCCTCAAGCTTGTCAGGCAGGCACTCTACCACTTGAGCTATGCCCCCAACCATTTTTGCTTTTATATTTAAAATAGTCTATTGCTCTTTTTTTAAAAAACTGATAGAGACTGTGATTCTTCTATTTATGTTTCTTGAATAGCTGGATGACAGACATACTCACCGTGCCCAGCTTCTTATTGGTTGTGATGAGGGCTTATGAACTTTTTTTTAGCATTGAGCTCTGACCCTTCCAACCTCCTGAGTAGCTAAGATTACAGAAGTGAGACACAGCATCCAGCTTCCAAAAATTTGTTTGCATGAGGTTCTCAGAGTCCAAGATCAGGTTGTTGATAGGCTCCTTTTGTCTTGTTTTCCTAAGATCTCTTTCCCTGACTTGCATCCTTGCATTATCTTCCTTCTAAGCATTTGAGCGTCTGTATACTAATCTCTTCTTTTATGAGAAACCAGTTATTATAGACTAGGGCTCACCATATGATCTCATTTTACCTTAATTACTTATAACAGAGCCTATTTTCAAACAGTCATATGCTGAGGTACTGAGGATTAGGATCTAAATATATATCTTCAAGACAAGAATCATAATTCAAACCAGAACCATAAAGTGCAGTGAATGATCCATCTGTGTGAAAACTGACCTGGATCAGTGATGGTCACAATGGCAGCAATCACTAGATTCTTCCCTTTTCCCTAGAAGGAAAAGATGAGATTAAATGCAGTCCAGAAGAAAGAAGAGCTATGAAAACCTCTAATTCTGCTCCAGTCCATTTCTGTTTGCTCTGATCCTACAGGAATGGTCAATCTGTCAGAATCTCTGCATATGTGTTTATGTGTGTGTGTGTGTGTGTGTGTGTGTGTGTTTGTGTGTGTTCCACAAACAGATCTAAGTGTCTATCTGCAAATGGTTTGGTGGACAGGTACGACAACCTGATATGCTGGAGCCAAAGCTAGAATATGTGGTAAACATGGCATAGAACATTTGAGTCAAGACTGTCTTGAAGCATTGGAGATGTACAGAGAGGTCTAACATATTCTTTAAAAACTTCAATCTTCATTCTTGTTTATTGTATAGCTTGTTAAGTTTGAGTTACAGTTCAACCATCTTTTCTCTGCTAGCAAATTTAGAAGTTTATCTTTGAAAACAAGATAAATTGGCCTGGATTGTTGATTAAAGTGCAGATTCCTAGGTTCAGTCATAGCTGTGCTATTAGGCTCCTTCAGGGCTGTGCCCAGGAATGTGTCTTTTGTCAAGCCAGCCTCACTGATTCAAGCCTCTGCCCTCCAACCCTCTCTTGACCTTGATCTACTTTACCTTGTCCTTGAAACCTTTACTGCTCCCCATGTTTCCACTAGTCTGTCACTGCCATTCCATTTGTGGACATGCAGAGGCAGATTTGAGGGATAAACCTAGAAGTGGTCATCCAGGGGAGAGAAAAAGAAGCCTTGAAATTGGGCAGAGTTGAGTAGACCAGAGAAGGAACAGTAAAATCCAAGAAACGTTTTGAAGGAGGAACTGGTAAGGCTTGATCGGTGAAAGCTAAGGAAACTCAGCTGAGGTAACCTTCCTGCCCAGGCAAGAAGACTTTGCACATGAAATGACAGCTGAGCCAGGTCTTCTACCAGGGGTGTCGACAGCAAAGAGTCTCTAGGAAGAACATTTTTACAGATAATGTACAATATGCAGAATGTGGGAGGCTGTCATGGCTGCTATTTGGTTTTCATTAGTTAGTCTTTGTTCTCTATGATTCAATTGAAGAACCATTTCAATGAGAAAAAATTCTGGTGATTAGCATAAGTAGAAGGGCTGAATACAGTTCCAACTGTAAGGGCGGCTTTTGCCTCTTGGTGGTCCCTAAAAGTTATTTGAGCCCCAGTTGCTTTCTCCCAACTGTTCTCTCTGCCCCGCCCCCCCCCAGTTCTCTTGTTCTTGGAACACATCTGTGTCCTCACTCAGATATTCTTTTCCAACCTGTGTTATTCTTTATAACACTAAACCAAGATGATGGCAACATCTTCCCTTCCCCCAGCTGGCACCGGTGCCTAATAAATAATGGGCATGGTTTCCTAGAAATCTTCAAGTATTGAGTCTTGGAATCATGAACAATAAGTAAATACCAATCGAAAATCGATTCTCTGAGCTTGAAGTTGTGTGTCCCCATTTCACTGACAAAAGAGTGGTCAGCCAAATAAGCAATTAATGCTATGTCTGAGAGCCCTGAGGTTTTGGGGAGTGCTCATACTGATTAACAGAGACCAGGAGACATAGACAAAACACATATGAGCTCATAATTTATTTTGTACTTTGCCTTTCCCTCGGGAGCTACAGGAGATAGTAAAACAAATGAGATCTGTATTCTCCACTGTGGTTACACACCACTGATGAGTGGGCAAGAGTCCATTGGACTTGAGTGTGGAACATCATTGCCTGTCGTTAATCAGACTGAGCTATAATTTTGAAATTAAAGCCCAAGAGGCTCTGGTCCTTACCCATCTGTTTAAAGTCTTTCACTGCTGGTGTCTAACAATATAATGATTTTTAATTGTCCACCGACTTCTGGCCAGCGCTTGGGGCCTTCATGGCTGTGAGGCTCCGAGGGGCCACTAGACAGGAAAAGGATGTGTGAGGGCCTCTAATTGAGGGGACCTTTGCACTGCCAGGCATTTCTGAATACCATCATCATTTGGCTTCTGGGAATTGCCCAAGAGTGATAAAAAAAGCAATAAAACAGGACTGGCCTTCATCACAACTTACAGTGAAGTGTATTTGATTTCCCTTTTATGTCTCCTTCCTCCTTTCTCTCTCTCTCTGTCTGTGTCTGTCTGTCTGTCTCTTTCTTTCTTTCTTTTTTGCCAGTCCTGGGACTTGAATTCAGGGCCTGGGCACTGTCCCTGAGCTTCTTTTGCTTAAGTTTAGCTCTACCACTTGAGCCATAGCACCACTTCTGGCCTTTTCTGTTTATGTGGTACTGAGGAATCGAAGCCAAGGCTTCAGGCATGCTAGGCAAGTACTCTACCACTAAGCCGCATTCCCAGCCCAACTCCTATTTCCTGTCTGTTGTTAAGTTATTGGTCAATGCCGTTCATTCCTCTTCTTGTCTCCACCCCTTATTGCTGAGAGTGGCACACAGAGTCAACTTCTACAAAGGCTGAAGATGTAGCACCTGTACTATTAGACTTTTTAAAAAAGAGTTAATTTAAAAAGGCAGGGACAGTTTAATTGTTTCCCAGTAAGGAGACAGTGTTAGGGAGCAGGAGACTTTTTTCTCAATGTCAACTCATGGTTTAAGTGCTGGCCTTTGCCAGCTCTGCTCAAGAAGGCCTCCATGTTTTCTTCTAACAGGTGCTTTTGGCCATCCATGCACTAAATGGTTGATTTTTTTTGGTCAAATGTCATTGTATCTCCAAATATCGTACTGAAGAAATAATTTGTGCAGGGAATTAAACTTCTTGGTGATTTGTCTCATTTCTGATATACTTTATATTCATTTTTGATGGACTATTAATGAATAGAGTCCATTAAAAAACAACTTTCTTCAGATACAATTCATTTGTCAGATAATTCACCCCATTAAACAATACAATGGTTGTATAATAAAGAGCCGGATTTCTTTTTAATTATTTGACTACTGACAGCTTTCAAACCACATCAGTCCTCTCTCCCTTTCTGCCTCATACCTGGGCAAGCTGTTAAGAAAGCCTGGATCCTCTGTCCTTTGGCACTGTTAGAATTTCAAATCACATAAGTCCTATTCCAGCACAGGAGCCCTCGTTTCAATCTCTCCACCTACTCACTACTATCTTCCTGCTTCCTTGACCATTGTTGGACTTCTTTGGAGGCCTGTCAAGCTCTCGCAAGGACTCTTCACAGTGTGAATCATACATCTTCAGTTTGCTCTTGTAGGTGTGTAGCTTCATCAATCTTGATGCTTGAGTAACTTTGGTGTAAGCAGACCCATCTCATCCCTGCAGGATGACTACCAGACTCTCCCTTTTGATTGAAATGTTAAGTCCATTTACAAGCTTGCATTAGTTAGCTTTCATTAGAGGGGGATTTCATTGCTACATTTCCACACGCGTATAGTGTACTCCAATCAATCCCATCCCATCTTATCATTTTTCCTTCTCTCCTTCCCCATTCCAAAAACAATGTCAGTAGGTTTCCTTGTGCAGTTTTCATAGTTGCAAACAATTTAGATAATATTCATCTTTTCAAAATGTATGTGAAAATTCTTCACCCCCATTATTCTTTTTCCCAACCCCTCCTTAGTTAGACTCATGTCTGTGTTTGACTATATAGATATATGCAAATGTACATAAGTGTAGATGTCTATGAATACGTATGTCTTTTAAGTCTAGCTTCCACATATGAGTGAAAACATCTATTTTTTAGCTTCTCTTGCTCAGTATGATGTTCTCCAATGCATTCATTTTCCTGCAAATGATATCATTTCATTTTTCTTTATGGCTATGTAATATTCCATAGTATGTATGTGTATCATATTTTCTCTATCCATCCATCTGTTGTTGGGCACCCTGGCTGCCTCCATCATTGGGCTATGTGCACAGTACTGCAACAAACATAGGCATGCTGGTGTCTTTCATGTTGATTTGTTCTCCTTTAGATATATGCCTAATAGTGGTATGGTAGAGTCATAATTTTCACTTTTTAAGGTTCCTCCTTACTGACTTCCACAGTGGTTATATTAGATTACATTTCCACCAAAGTGCCTGAGTGTGCCCTTTTCTCCACATCCTTGCCAGCCCTTGGTGTTGTTTGTTTTCTTGATGACTCCATTGTGACTAAGGTGAGAGAAAATCTCTCACAAAATTTCAGGTTTATGAGTCTTACCTCTGAAAATTTAGAGTTAGGGAGCCTAAAGGGGTATAGGAAGCTGAATTGTATAGACTTATATTATTTATAGAGAGGGGCTCTTACATTGCATCTCCACACATGATTACACTGTATTCCAATCCATTTCACCCCATCTATCACACTCCCTTTCACCTCTTCCTAAAAGGAATCTGAAGTCTTATGGAAGTTTTCCATGGGATTCTGACAATTGGCCATGAGTGGGAACATCTATTTGTCCAGGCCAAGGGTTTGGGGATAAGCCAGCTTTCTCTCACAGCTGTGGAGTTTGCATAGTTGGTGTAAGAGGCAAGGTAAAGCCAAGTGAGAGCTGGGAGACAGGAAGACATAAAGCTTAGAGATGGGAGCAGATGCTGTCAGCCAATGGTGTCCCTCTTTTTTTGTCCCACCTTCCAGTGGCCCGCTACCGCGTGACCGTCTGCACAGGGGAGCTTGAAGGTGCAGGGACCGATGCCAACGTCTACCTCTGCCTTTATGGTGATGTGGGGGACACAGGCGAGCGGCTGCTCTACAACTGCAGGAACAACACTGAGCTGTTTGAGAAAGGCAACGTAAGTGCCTGTCTCCTGCCTTATCTGCTCTTTTATGATAGGGCTGATGGCTGATGTTGGGGTCTCATAGAGCACAGATCACTGCTCTGGGCAAGAGGAATGGAAGACTGGGCATTCCTGCAGGAGACACTAGTGGGGCATAGCAGTGTCTGGTCTATTTGGTCCATGAGCTTTTGGTCCACTGTGACTCATTAATGTGAGATACCTACATGAATCCTTGAACTATGTAACAAGAACTTGAGAGACATCCCAGAGGAGTCATGGTCTCCCCTTCTCCAAGCTTTAGGAAGAAGGCAAGAGAGGAGCAGCACCATTCTTACCTCAGGGTGGGAAGAAGGGGAAGGGTGCCCGGCATCTTATCATGCACTAGAGGAGTTATGATGGAGAAAAGCTGGCAGGTGCTCAAGGATCGAGGGAGCTTTGCATTCTCTACTGAGCATAATTACTGGGGCAACTTATTCATGTCTTTTTTGAAAACAAAATAAGAAATATATGAAGTATAGATGTGGAGAACTGGGGTCTGCTGCTGGACTCACAAGTGTGTTCAGTTTTCCTTTCAATAACTCACTGAGTGGCTTTAGCGGGGGCATTAGCTTCCTCATACCTACAGTGAGGGAAAGGAACTGCTGTGATGATTAAGGAGAGTTGATGAACTGCCACTGGGGTCAGATGTGGCTCACGGTGCACAGTCGGTATTCAGTAAAGAGTCTCTGCTGCAATAACATGAGGCTTGAAGGTGAGGGGGATGTGCAGATGTCTTTGCTCTGCTTCCTTTTACCACCCCTTCCTTGGTGAAGTGGATTGTGAGCCTTGACCACTCTCTGGGTCAATCCAAGCTGGCCTGCTTCTTTGGATCATGGGCAAAGACCATCGGCACAGGAAACTCTGGGTTGGGTCAGGTACATTTGAGGAAAGGGGGTACCTTTCACAGTTCCCTTCCAGCCACCTTTTTCTTTATGCTTTCTTATTTTCCTTCTATGCCTTCAGAATCCTTTCTCCTACACTAGTTTCTCTTTGTTCTTGTCTCTGGAGACTCCCATCTGCATTCATGTAGATTTGAAATTCTCCAGTCCCTAGCATATATTGGCTATCTCAGAGGTGGGAAAAACTGCAAAGTTAGTAAGACAATCCTCCTAAACAATTTTCTTGTTTTAGAAGGGGACCAGTAATTCCCCATAGCAAAGTAGTTAGGGAACAAATTCATGGTACTTAGTGGCTGATAACTTCTGCATATATCTGTACTTTCAGGGAAGCTACTGTTTAAAAGGAGATCAAAGGTCTAGGAATTGTGACACACACCTGTAATCCTAGCTACTCAGGAGACCTTGAATTTGAGGCCAGTCCAGAAAGGTAGTGGCCAGATTCTGCCTCCAAAATAAAATAGCAACAAAAGAAATAAGGGCAGAGCTTCCATTATTGAGGTTTGCCTAGCATGTACAAGGGCAAGGGTCAATTCCCAGGAGATAGAAAAAAATGAAGCCTGGAATGACACTTAATGGAGACTATAATTCGATAACAGATACTGCTTTCAAATGGAGCCAGCTAGAAGTGCCACCAACAAGTGCATATATATATATATATATATATATATATATACACACACACACACACACACACACACACACACACACACACACACACACACACATATATATGTAAGGGCACTTGCTTAACTAAAACCTACAGGCACAGATGGTTGGAGTCTTGATTTCAATGATGTCCCAGCAAGAGGAATCAGGGGTGGGGAGTAGTCTGTTTTGGGTGTCAGCCTCTATTGTACCTGTGAAAGACCAGTAGCCTGGCACCACCCCTACTTTTCTGACTTTTGGGTCTCACAGTGGCCACTCTCCAGCTACCTTGCTGTTTTTCTCTTCCTAAAGGCTGATGAGTTCACCATCGAGTCAGTTACCATGCGGAAGGTTAGGCGAGTACGGGTCAGGCATGATGGCAAAGGCTCGAGTAGCAGCTGGTACTTGGACCGGGTGCTGGTGAGAGAGGAAGGCCAGCCGGAGAGCGACAACGTGGAGTTTCCATGTCTCAGGTAGGTGACTCCTGACTGCATTCACTTTCTCCAGCGTGACTTATGGTCCCTGAATTTGAGGAAGAACCAGCCCTAGGCTGAGTCAGTGAGGAAAGAGAATAGTGGTTTGGGGCTGGAGTTGGTACAAGGAAGAGGTGACCTTGCTGGTGGCACTTAGGCCTCCCATGCACACCCCACCCGCACTGCATGTTCAAATGCACTTTTTGTTTGTCTTTGCTTGAAAATAGCTGGTGTTACTGATTGGAGGTCTTTGTAAGTTAGGTATTATCCCAGGTTCTTGGAGTTAAATGAGCAGGACTAATGAGAGACGCATGCATGTATTAAAGCTGAAGTAAAGGATGTGTAACGTGGGAAATCATCTCACAGCATGGGAGCAAGTCTGAGTAAGACAGCGTCATGGCTCTGAGGATTGGCGCCTGTGACAATTGAAGACTGATAGGAATAGAGGGGAGGGAAAGAAGGTCCCTCTCACAGAAGAGGTGTTCTGTGATGCCCATTCCCACAATGCATTCTGTTAAAATGATACTAACGATATTCAGTTCCTAAACACGAGGCCTTAATTAATGATTTCACTTGGAAATTCAATGAAGGGCAACCAAGGGTAATACTGTACATGTATCATTAAGAGGATGTGTGTGTGTGTGTGTGTGTGTGTGTGTGTGTGTGAGTGTGTGTGTGCGCGCGCACGCATGTGCACGCACACATGCTGGTTGTGGGGCTTGAACTCAGGTCCTGAGCACCATCCCTGAGCTTTGTTGCTCAAAGCCAGGGCTCTACCACTTGAGCTACACCGCTACTTCCAACTTTTGGATGGTTAATTGGACATAAGAGTCTCACAGACTTTCCTGCCCAGGCTGGTTTTCTAACTGCAATTTTCAGATCTCAGACTCCTGAGTAGCTAGGATCATAGGCATGAGCCATGGGTACCTGGCTATTAAGATGATTTTTATTTTGCTCAGCAACCAACCTGATGTGATGTCCCTTTGTCTCAAGGACATTTGTCCATACTTTTTCATGATCATGAAGTGGGGAATTAGGAAGGGTCTTGGAGTGGGACTAGAGCAGAGGCAGATGGGGAGTCTGGTCTTACAAGTGGCTATGGCAACAAGTTTTATCTGCTTGCCTCAGAACCAACACATCAGTATTTTCTCATGATAAAATTCAACAACGTCTGAATTTAAATAAAGGTTACCTCAGAGAATTACATGCTAACTTAAACTTGTGAAGCAAAGGTGTAATTTCATTGGAATAACCACAGCTCTTCCTTGTTAATGTGTTTCCAGGGTATATTATTTAGTTTTCACTCTCTTTCCCCAACAGAAATGAAGTAAAATTGCTTCACTCTTTAAAAAAAATTGTTACTGTAAAGGTAATGAACAGAGGGGTTACAGTTATATAAGTCAGGTAATGAGTTAATTTCCTTTTGAACAGTGTTACTTCTTCCCTTCCTTTCTCCCTGTTTTTCTCTCCTGCCCCCTTCCCCCACAACTTATACAGTTCATTTTCAACATAGTGTCTAGTGAGTATCACTGCTGCATTTGTTTACCCTTTGTCCCACCATTTCTGTGCTCTCCCTTACCCTCCCCCAAACAGATAAACTAACATTCAAGATAAAAGGTACAGAAAACAAAAACAGTGAAAAATGGACTTTCCTATATAGTCTGTTTGGGCTCAGATAGATGTTGAGGTCACTGATGGAGACACTGGAGAACAAGGAGCAGGTTTCCAGGCCATCCAGGTGGCCTTTCACACTCTTCTATAGCTATACCTGGGAGGTGAACACTGTATGATCAGCTTGAGACCTGTACCTGCGTACTGCTTCTTTCCTTACCTAAGGTGTTACAGTGCTTTCACTCCCCTGAAGAACAGCACAAAGCAGGAAGAGTTTGGGCTATTGCAGGTGGTGTGTGTGTGTGTGTGTGTGTGTGTGTGTGTGTGTGTGTGTGTGTGCGTGTGTGTGTGTGCGCATGTGTGTGAAAGAGTTATGAAGTCACCAGCAGACTGGCTTATCCATTTAGCCACATATCACTGTGAAACTAGGCTGGAGTATTTGAAGCTAAAAGGATATGACTTATTTTGGGGAAAGGTCTATTATTATCCTGCAAGTATTTAGAGTGGAGACGAAAGAACGCGTCATGGTTTCTTTTTACCATGGGGGAGGAGCTGGGGATGCATGACTGGAGGAGAGAAGGGAGAGTGGATGGGGTTTTCCAAGGACTAAGAGCCTGCTAGCATCTATCTCTCTCCTGCAAGTGCATGACCAGGTGACATTTAAGTGCTCTTCCCTTCAGCCTCCATCCCTGTGGAAGTTGCTAGGTGACCTTAGTAAGACAGTCAGAAGAAGGCCCCAGTGGCCAATTTTAAGGGGCTCTGGCTAGCAGCTCCCTTTTCCCCAATTCCCTGTCATTCATGCTCAGGGTTCTACCATGTGTCCTTTTATCTCAGTGTTCTGGATTCACAGCCCCAAAGGCACAGGAGGAATCAGCTTAGTTGTTGCTTAATAGACAACCAACAGCAAATTTCCATGGGCAGGTGAGACTGTGGGACTGGGAGGGAGAAGTGGGATAGGGGAGCCTGTGTGGTTTCTCTGGCCCTGGGAAAGGATGGTGATTTCGGAGTCCTGAGCTCCCTTTCAGGAGGGGAGAGGAAGCAGTGACTCCTGGCTCAGTCATACCCTCTCTGAAGTGTGATGGGATAAACTGAAGACAAGCACTAAGATTTCAGGTGGGCAGATGCTTTGATAAAGGACAAATGTCTTGGTTTCTATGACACTCTGGAAAAACACTGAGACTATCTATTCTGCTGCCATTGACACCAGATTAAAATGAGCCTGAGTGCTGGGCACAGATATCCCATGATTGCATGAGGGTCTTTTTGGACTCGGTAGGAAAGGTGCTTTTCAGGTAGATAGTCCATACCTTTATCGCTGAGGATTGACCAGCAGGAAGATGGGGATACAGCTCACAGAGTTACAGCTATCAAACCCCAGCTTGAGCACAGATCTAGCTTTTCTTGAAGGGGAATCTCATCCATCTTTGAGGACCCCATATTCAAGCCCTTCTACCCTGAGTCCTTATCCTTTTCCTAATTACCCATAGCACTTGCTTTGGTCCATTTTCATCTTGGTGCTCGGTGCTGCATTTGGCCTGTCTTCCCTGTCAGTATATAGGCCTCGGACTGTGTGGGTTTCTGTCAATTTTATGACTATGGCTTTTTCCACCTGAAGCTCTGGCACAATGCCATGAACATGATGGACTCGAAGAAGAGTGTATTTTTTTCTTCCTTTTTTTTTTTTGCCTGTCCTGGGGCTTGAACTCTGGGCCTGGGTGCTGTCCCTGAGCTTCTTTTGCTTAAGGCAAACACCCTACCACTTGAGCCACAGGGCCACTTCTAGCTTTTTTTGAGTAGTTTATTGTAAATAAGAATCTCACAGCATTTCCTGACCAAGCTGGCTTCAAACTGCAACATTCAGACCTCAGCCTCCTGAGTAGCTAGGATTACAGGTGCTAGCCACCAGTGCCCGGCTGTTTTTTTTCTCCAATAATGACAGTGTTTTACTGTGATGACCTAACATCCTATGGCCTTTTCCCTTCCACCTCATCTGACCGCAATGTGTCCATCACTCACTGTATTCCATCCACAGAGGTCTTCCATCAACTCCTAGCCTTCCATCCCAAGATGTGTTACTCCTTCTGAGATGCTCCATGCCAGCCTTCCAGTCTCAACCAGCAATTACCTGCTTAAGAAGTCCTCCTTACCTAGTCTAAGTTAGGATGCTTTTCTAGGATTGCTTGTAGACTCACTCTCCATTGTTGAATCAGAGCTCTGGGCCTCCCTGCAGACTCCAGTGATGGCATGTTGGTTGGAACATCTCCTTGGACCACTTAAAGAGCTAACACACTCTGCTTTCCCACAGGTGGCTGGACAAGGATCAGGATGATGGGCAGCTGGTCCGAGAGCTGCTGCCTAGTGATAGCAGTGCCACACTTAAGAGTGAGTCATCCTGATGACCAGGTAGTGGCTGTGCCCTTGGCATGACAGGTGCTTTCCCTCAGCTACACAGGAGCAGCAAACACATGCTCTTCACTTTATGGAGTCAGCACAGAGGAGGTGGAGAGGAGAGACATGAGAGAGGGGGAAACTTCTCGTGTGTCCCAGCTTGTGCGCCAGATCTATATGGCCATGACTGTAAGGCCTGAATGCATATGGGTCAACAAGTAATAAGTAACATAAACAATAACATCAGCTAACATAAGCACAGGGGAGCCTACCATTCCTTGTGTGTGGAGACATTAAAATGAGGACTTTGAAAATTTCTGTGTTGTGTCTGAGAGGGCTCATAGATATATATATATATATATATATATATATATATATATATATATATATATATATATATATATATATATATATATAGTTGTAAAGATACTGTACAGAGGGGTTACAGTTACATGAGTAAGGTAATGAGTACATTTCCTATTGAGCATTGTTACCCCCTCCTTTGTTTTCCCCCTACTATCCCTTCCCTCCTCACCTCCCCAACTCCTCCCTCCCCCCAAAGTTATAAAGTTCATTTTCAACATAGTGTCTTGTACATCTTATTGTTACAATGGGTCAACTTGTATCCTTAATTAAGCATTTTGTTATTTCCCTTCCCCTCTTCAAATTAGAAAATTGCATATACAAATGCAGGGCACTGGAATCAAATACAGTGAAAACAGGGGTTATACCATGGGAGAAGAACATACAAAAGAAACAAAAAAAATCACATAGTACATTAAAAGTACATTAAAAACAACAGCAAGAAAGATTAAAAACTTACGTCCCTATCAGGGTTTATTTTGCTTAACATCATCTTATATGGTCATATGTACATAGCTTTTGACCTTTTCTGCTTGTCCTAGACATATGCTAGTAATTGCAGATAAGGGAAACCATGGGACCTATGTTTCTTTGATCCTGGCTTACTTCACTTAATATAATTTTCATAGTTTTCTTTACTGATATTTCTTCATATCCTATGGTTTGATCAGGAGCTTAAGGAAAAATTCAAAAGAAACATATCTACAGAATCCCATTAATACTAGCACCTCATGTGTACCATTTCCATCTTGGGCTGCCTGTTCAGCTGATAGGGAAACCGAGATCTGAAGGAGCTAAAATTTTATAGTTGACTTTTCCTAAGAACTAGAGTGTCCAGTGTCTAGGCCTGGAATCACCGGACTTAAGAACTAGGAAGGATCTCAGAAGACACAGTGATCGCACCGATGGCCAGGGAAGCACTCTCACCTACCACCTGACACCCAAACCCATGGTTGAGATGGAGCTGGGATTAGCTCCCAGGGTGTTCCTTCTCTTCCCACTCTTCAGGCTCCACCCTACCTAGTAAACAAGGCCCCACCCACTGCTTTCCTAGGCAGAACCTTGAAAACAGTTTAGATGGAAATTGTAGTATGGGAGAGTTCTTCTAGTTCTAGGTGCATCTTTTAACAGCAAAGACAAAGACTCTTCAGTTGCCCTTGGATGACCTTGGGGAAGCTGATCTGGCTTTGCTCACCTTGTCTAGACCCTTCTTCACAGTGGGAAGACCCTAAGACAACAGAAAGTGGTGAGCCTCGGAATTAGCATCCTTTGTCTCTCTCTGATTCCTTCTCTTTGCCCAAGACATACATCTGATAACCAGCCTGTAGTATGGATCCTGGCTCTCATGTTCTCAGTGCATTTCTCCTCTTCTTTGGGTGTTTTTTAATCTTTGCACATAGGCAGTGAAGACCTTTCTTGGATGATAAAATGGAGTGTCATGCATGGGTGTACCATTAAGAATAGGCCTTTAAATCCGTATTAGTGTATTGACTTCATTTTTTTTTATGGTGCTGGGGTTTGAACTCAGGGCATTGTGCTAATCAGATAGGCACTTTAGCACTTGAGCCACACTCTCCCACTTTTTGGTTTAGTTTTTCAGATAGTCTTGGGATTTTTTTTTACCCCAGAACTTGCAACTGACCATAATCCTCCAATCTTGGCCTCCCATATACTGGGACTATAGGCATGGGACACTACTTCTGGCCCCTGGTTCCTTAACTGGCACCAAACATATGGCCCTTCAAACTTCATATTCCTTAGTAATAGAGCCATAATTAGAATACTTGGCAATAATACCATGTATACAATACGCTAAAACACTATCTAGAAAGAATGAGTACCCTTAGCCTCAATTTTTCCTCATTTATCAGAGGGGAAGTTTGACTAGGTGATGTCTGTCTCTGAAACTTGCTGTTATCTGTTTTCCATTGCCAGCCCATTCGCTGACTCCTTATGGAGTCAGCAAGGCACATATCAGAATTCTCTTTTGTACATGAAGGAGCTCCACTGAGGTGAAGGGAGAGTCACAGAGAGTCACAGAATCCAGGCCTGCCTCCTCGCTTCTGTCCTGCCTGACTGCAGGCCCCCTCCTGCTCTAGGCACTCTAGGTGCCTTACTCCTTGTTACCAAAGCTATACTAACCTGCTGCTTTCTCCCTCTGCATGGCACTATTTAGACTTCCGCTATCACATCAGCGTGAAGACTGGAGATATCTCTGGGGCCAGCACCGATTCTAAGGTCTACATCAAGCTCTACGGGGAAAAATCTGACACCATCAAGCAAGTGCTTCTGGTCTCTGACAATAATCTCAAAGACTATTTTGAACGTGGCCGGGTGGATGAGTTTACTCTTGAAACCCTGAACATCGGAACTGTAAGTGAACTTCCTAAGATCATATGCATCCACATATACATCTACACATCCATGCACACATATGCTTATGTACACACAAGTTAGCTCATTTGCAAGGAAACTCCATTTTGATTGTTACTGGGATATGTTGTTTCCAGTTGCTAGCCAGAGCAGCTTATGATATGTGGACAGTGTCTGAGCTTCTACAGCCTCTTTGGGGATAGAATGTCTATCTTTAGAAACTTTAGAAACGTGAACCCCCACATGGCTAGGATCATTCTTCCTGGATCATAGACACTGGAGAAAAGGACACTAGGTTCAGGGAAGGAAAAGAGATAAAGAAAGATGGAAACAAAGAGCTGAAAATATTTTCACTTCCATACTAGAGTATTCATTTGAATTGTTTCTGGACTACTGCTAAGAGATGGGGCACTAAGGGATGGGACCTGAACGTCTCCATCTTTCAAGGTTCCTGAGGAGGCCTGGCTGTAAGCAGTGTGCTCACTTCATAAAGATGAACAAAGCTAACCACTAGAGTGGCAAGGCAGATTCATCAGTAATACACTACTGCAATGTAAGAAAAAAGCCAGCACTAATGAAGCTCACCTTCCATTTAAATAGAGGTTTTAGAGAGAGAGAGAGTGAGGGAATAGAAGATGGGTGAACAAGGCCCCTTAGAGCCCAGGAAGTGAGAAAAATCACAAGTAGCAGTAAGGGGGAGATTGGACCATGTAAAATGCACCAGTGTTTGCTCATTGGTGCCATCAGATTTAAGCTCTTATCCTAGAGCCTGGGGACTGAATACCTCTTTCCCCGGGTTTAATTCTAACAGCCTTGAGTTTTCTCAAGTAAAGGGGTTTCAGATCTTAGGGATGTGGCCTTGAGCTGTTGTAAATTGTTAGTATTTTGTTCAAATCTTTGTAGGCCAGGTAGATGCCTAGTTATGAAAGATCTCAGGAGCCTCAGTAGGGTTTAGTCAAGTTGAGACTTTTTTTTTTACTAGACTTTGTTGTTCAGGTTTTATTTTACTTTTTGTATTCATGTGTTCTTATTGTTATTATAAGGTGATGTACAGAGGGGTTATACTAGTACATTTCTCTTTGAATAACATTACTCCTTCCCTCACTCTCTTCCAGTTTTTTCCTCCCATTCCCACATACAAGTTGTATAGTTCATCTTCAACATAGTGTCTACTGAGTACTGCTGCTGTATTTGTTTACCTTTTCTCTCTCCATTTCTTTGCCCCCCCCCTTTGCCTTCCCCAAACAGATAAACGAACGAACAAGACAAAAGGAAAAGCAAACAAAAACAGCAACAAAGGGAAAAAACTCTTGTTTCCATTTTCTGGGGTTCATTTTGATGAATATTATTTTATATAGTCAGATACATATAGGTATCATGCCTTTGTGTTCCTCTCCTGAGAAAATCCTCCTTTGATCTCACTGTGTGTGAATGCCTAGAGACCTGTATAATTTATCATATCCCAGTGTATTTATTTAACCATCCAGTGTGTTTAGATTCACAAGCACTTTCTAGCTACTACAAATTAGGAAAACCATGCAGCCTATGATTTTCTGGGTCTGGCTTAATATGATTTTTTCCAAGTCTTTCTATTTCCTTACAAAAGGCACAATGTCATTCTTTCTGATGGCTGAGTAGAATTCTATTATATATATATTTATATATATACACACACACATATATATATATGTATACACACACACACACACACACACACACACACACACACACATCACATTCTCTTGATCCATTTGTCCACAGGGGCATCAATTCTAGAGACTCTTTCTCGACCTTACCTGGAGAAACCTGGGCCAGAGCCCTGGATACATCTCCAAACATGCTGTGATATGTATTACGCCTGCTGCTCTCAGGAGTCCCATGGTGGGAAGTGTGATTGTAACAAGCCTCTGTCTGTCTGTAACCTCTTCTTCCTCATCCCCTCCCTGTCTGTGGACCTCACCCTACCTCAAGTACACTGGGCCTCCCTCCTCCCATCCATCAGCATACACTCCGGGGAACAATCTCGTGTCTCTCACTTAATGCCTTGAAGCTAATGAACTTTAATCAAGCTTTTCCTTGATCAAAATGTATTTATATTTTAAGCTGAGTCAATAATTGCAGTGAAAATGCTGTTCTCTTTACTGATAGCGTGCACCACGTCAGTGAAACCATGTCTGAGAAGAGGAGAGTGGGGGTGATGAGCCCTCTGAGCCTTCCACATGCTGTTGAAACCCCCTTCATGAGCAGTGTGGCCAGTAGCGTGGGGCTGAGTCCCATGACAACTGCCAGATCTGGGGTCCAACATTTCTGCTTACTTGCCATGTGCAAGCTAATTGACCTACATACATTTCCTCCTTCGCAACAGGGGAGGGGATACTAATGCAATGCTTTTGTTAAAAAGTATTCTTATTATCTTTAATTAGTTGTACAAAGGAGTTGCCATTTACCAAAGCAGTTTATAAATACTGTGCATCTTGATGGGTGTCACCTCTTTCAACATTCTCACCACCCCTCCCCCAACCCATCCTTTCCCTCACTTATCTTAATTTTAGGTTACAGATTGTTCTTTTTGCCATGTAACAGAGTGGTTTGTGTGTATGATAAATCTTGATCTGTGCCATTACTTCAACATCTTCACCCCCCCCACCAACCCATTTCTCAATCTTTCTCAATTCTGTGTATATCCAGTGAATTCGTGCCTGCATTTACTTCCTTCATTCTTCTACCTTTCTCCCCTTGATCCATCCCTACCCTCTTGAAGGTATCCATTTCTTGGTACTTATTTAGTTTGGGCTTTGATTTAGTCTTTTTAAAGAATTATACTCTTTGCATTTTCCATAGAGTCTGTTATACTTCAGTTAAACACATCCAGTAGATTTTTAAGCACATTCTAGCCTAGGGAAATCATGGAACCTATGTTTCTCTAGCTTACTCCACTTAATGCAATTCTTATTAACACTGGATATGTTAATAACACTCACATGCTCTGATCATAGCCAGTCCCTGCCTTCAAGGAGCTCTGGTCACAGAACACAAAGCCCTGAGAAGTTGTCTGCATATTCTCTCACCTGCATACTGGGAATGTCAAAGAAGAAATGTACATTAGCCAGGCACAGGTAGCTCATGCCTATAATCTTAGCTACTCAAGAAGCTGAGATCTAAGGATTGCGGTTCAAAGCCAGTACAACCAGGAATATCTGTGGAGACTCAGATCTCTCATTAACCACCAGAAAAACCAGAAGTGGTGTTGTAACTCAAAGTGGTAGAGCACTTCTTCAGCAAAAGAGCTCAGGGACAGTGCTCAGGCTGTGAGTTCAAGGCGCATGACCAAAAAGAAAAAGAAAAAAGAAAAAAGACCAAACATACCAGTGTACTGTTTAAAACAAAACCAAATCAATAACACAGCTATTGGAGGGTGATGGCAGACGAGGGAGTATCTGATTTCTTGTGCAGCATTTTTAAGTACTGAATGGAGTGTTGAAAGCTCACACCACATCTGCTCTGCACGGGTGTCCAGGAGACAAGAAGGAGGGGGCGGAGGGTCCAGGCAGGAGAGGAACACCATGTGAGAGGTCATCCAGGTGACCATGGCAAGCCTGGGGCCTAGTGTCTCCTGTCAAGTCTCCATGCTCTAGGGAAACTGGAGTACCTGGTTGAAAGGAGCTGTTTGCGCTGGTGCCAGGGGAGATGGAAGAGGGGCTTGGAAGCTTCTGAGCCTTGCATCCACTGACTGGAAGTGATCGTCTGAATGTGAACGTACCCTCTGCAGACTTACACATTGCAGGCTTGGTTTCTAGCTCATAAACTTTTAGAAAGTGACTAGATCCTAAGGGTTCTATCTGAAGCAGGCCTGATGGATTCATCATATGATGGATGACATTATGGGTAGTGGCCCTGTAAGGAGGAGCTAGGTCACTAGGGACAGGTCCTTGGAGGCGTAACTTGTCCTGAATTCCCTCTACCTTGATGTCCACCAAATCCAACCACTCGGCTTCATCACACTCTCCCTAAGATAGATAGATAGATTTGCAAGCTCTGAAACGTAGCTAAAGTAAATCCTTTCCAGTTCGTAAGTTGCTTGTGTCCGGTATTTTGTCATAGCAGTGACAGTCAGATGAACACATCTGGGTTTCCTTCCAGATCAACCGGCTGGTGATTGGGCATGATAGCACAGGCATGCATTCAAGTTGGTTCCTGGGCAGTGTCCAGGTCCGAGTGCCTCGCCAAGGCAAGCAGTACACCTTTCCTGCCAACCGCTGGCTGGACAAGAACAAGGCTGACGGGCGTCTGGAGGTAGAGCTGTACCCGAGTGAGGTCGTCGAGATCCAGAAATGTATGGAGGATGGGACCTTCAGCATTATTTTCCTGTGGGGGAAGGAGGGGGAACCATGGGGTAACCGGGTCTTGTCTCTAGATACGGGGAGAGAGGGGTCCTGGGGGTTGATAATGGGGGTTTTTAAGTGCCTCTGGCACCATGGTTCTGGAGGCCATGGGGGTTCATTTTACAGATGGGGAAACTGAGGGCTCAGAGGATGGAATGTTTTGGAATAAAGGCAGAAAATATTATTATTAAGAAATGTGCATTCTAAACTTGTGGAGAGGAGTTTGTAGTACTGTCCATGTCTCCCCTGGAAAGCTGGCTAAGAATTCATTCATTTATTTGGTAAGGTATTCGTGAGCTTCATCTGTGCCAGTTTTGCTCTGGGCTCTGGGGAGGCAGCTGTGAGTCAAATAGAGCAAACTTTGCCCTTGTGGGCTACATGTGCCACCAGAGAGACACAAAAGCTAATGCCAAAGAAGAGCCCAGGAGAAACGGAGGCAGTGTGCAGGGCTGGTGTGGTGAAGGAGCTTATTTTTCTGAGATGCTAAGGATGAGTGGGATCTGCCCCTTCCCGCTGTGATCTATGGCATGTGATATGTGCCAGAGACCATGGTGGGCTAGAGAGTTTTGACTTAGAGGATGGGAAAGTCAGTGGGCCGACAACCCGGCAGGGAAAGGTCCCTGCCTCACTTCTGTGTGTCAACATCTATCCTGAGGGTGGCTGCTCACTGCTCTTTCCACGGTAATCTTATCGACAAGAACCCTAGGCCAACCTCCCCCTTCTCTGGCCAGGACTCTTCAAATCTTTTCCTAGGTGCATTTCATCTTCCTATCCCACCAGAAGTCCCTTGAATGACTCAAGCATTAGTCAAGAGCATAAATAAGCAGTAGTTAAAGATGGAAAGAGCTGGGCACCGGTGGCCATGCTCATAATGCTCGCTACTTAGGAGGCTGAGATCTGAGGATCGTGATTCAAAGCCAGCCTGAGCACAAAAGTCCCAGTGAGACTCTTATCTCCAATTAACCATGTAAAAACTAGAAGTAGAGCTGTGGCTCAAAGTGGTAGAGTATTAGCCCTGAGCAAAAGAGCTCAGGGACAGTCCGAGGCCCTGAGTTCAAGACCTCAACCAACAAAATAATAATAATAATAATGAAGCCATTTCATTCCCTTTCTTTTCCCTCATCCCATTCCCCTTATTATTCAAAGAAAAACGACTTTAATTACTTTAGCTCATTCCTCTGAAATTTAATAATAAACTTCTCCATTTGTTGATCTTTCAGCATTAGACATTATCTATTGAATTCCTCTTATAAGAAAAAGGATTTAGCTTATTTAATACACACACATATGTGTACATATACACATTTCTCTTTCCAATCGTCAGTATAATTAGATCAGAGTTCCGTCTTTACATTCTTGAGCCTCTGTAAAATTATTCACTGCGCAGTCACCTGGTGCATGATATTTACATGTCATTTTTATACAGTTTTGTTTCTTTATAGAGCTGGGAAGAAGTTCATCCTTACATTTCTCCATACTCATCATTGTCTGTTAGTCAGCTATGACTATGATCACAACAAAGCTCTCCTGAGATGCAGATGTTCATCTCTTTGCTGTGTTATGCTCTTCTCACAAGCACACACTCCTGATGTCTCTCTGTGGGTCCGAATTTCCTCTTCTTAAAGGAGTCACATTGGATGAGAGCCTACCCTAAAAACTGTATTTAAACCCAATCATCTCTTTATAATCCCATCTCTAAATATAGTTATAGTCTGAGGTGCTGGAGGAAAGAATTGAAGAGAGGTTGATACAATTTAGTACATGGTTCGATCTTATCTTGAGAAAACTCTAAAGGAATAAAAGTTCTTCCCATATGTTCCAACTCAATGGTCATCCTGACGTTTATCTTCCCCCTTTTCCCTTCGAGAGATCCCTTTGGAGCCCTCTGCCCTCCTGCTTTAGGCTTTTATGCAGCTGCTATTCTTGTCATCTTTAATTTTTTTCCTTTCTTTTGTCTCACTTATTGGACCCTGTGACTTTCTCTTTTTGGTTTATCTCTCATGTTAGCCAGTCAGATCCTTACTATCAGACTCCTGTGAAAGTACATTGACAGGACCAGGACCTGGTAATCTACAACTTTCTTTCATTAAATCTCACAATCAACTCATCGTTTGGATTGCTATCAGATTCTGAACTCTCACTTTCACTAGAATTTAGAAAAGAATGATTCTAGAGAATACGCTTTATAGCTCCCATGTTGCAGTAGAGTAGTTCAATGCCATTCTGCTTTTCATCTGTTTTTTTCCCTAAAAGCTTGCTAGACCCCATCTTTGTCCCTAAAACTCTGAAATTTTGTGATGCCTTTTGTGATTTTACTTCCATACATTGTCCTGGAAACTCATGGTCTCCTTCAGTTTAGAAGCATTTCTGGTTTTTTGGTTTTCCTCCTCCTCCTCTTCCTCCTTCTCTTACTTCTTCTTTTCTCCTTTTCCTCCTTCTCCTCTTCCTTCTCTTTCTTCTCCTCCTACTTCTTCTTTCTTTCTCTTTCTCTTTTCCTCAGTCTCTTCTGTCTTGCAGGACTAGAGTTTGAACCTGTGCTTGCTAGGTAAGTGCTCTATCACTTGAATTACATATCCTCAGTCTTTATTTTTTGTTAGTTCATTTTTCAGATAGGGTCTTTTTTTTCTTCTAAACCATATATTACTGGAATTTATTGATGATTTTTTATTGTCAAGGTGATGTATAGAGGGATTACAGTTACATAAGTAAGGCAATAAGTACATTTCTTGTCAAACTTGTTACCCCTTCCCTCATTTGTCTCCTACTTTCTCCCTTCCTCCCCCAAGTTGTACAGATCATTTCCACCATATTGTCTTGTGTATGTTTCTGTTGCATTGGTTCCACCCTTGTCAGATAAGGTCTTGTAATTTTCCCCACTCCAGCCTTGGACCACAGTCCTTCTAAATCTGCCTCTTGAGCAGAATTGATGTGTGCCATCATGGCTGCTCCTCATTGGTCTTTTAATCTTGGGGAATTTTTCTTCTGCTTTTAGGACATATTCTTGACTTTTTCCTTACTATTGACTTTAGGCTGCCATATTTCAGTTCCCAATAACTCAGTCATGTTTTCCAAAGATTCCTTATTCTCCTTCCTCTTTTTATAGAATCACGGCCACCTTTTGTGCTGGGGACTGACAGCAGGCAGGATCACCCACTGTCATCCATATACTATTCCAGCTTTGCTCTTAACTGAACCTAGTATTTGTAGTTCACTATCTTCAGGTTGTCAACCAGTCCTCTCATTTTCAGTCCTTGATTTCTCACATTGCTATGAGAATAGGGGATCCTTGTACGAAAAGAGTATTATCTTATAGCTTTGCCAAGAGGGAAAGTGTTTTAACAGTCATGTAGACAGATGCCATAGTTCTTCTGGGAGATGCTTTGTACTTCCTCGAGAAGTGCCCTCTACTGGACAATACCTGTAACTCATGTTTGGCCTCTAACACCTTGATAAGTAGTCCTTCAAGTGTAATGCATGTGTTGGTGTGCTCTGAAGGTATTTATATTTAAATGAGTACTGCCATTCCAACCCCTTGTCCTTTACTGAAAAGATGGCAAAGAAGCAAACCTGTCTTTTGCTACCTTCTTCCCTTATAGTGTCTGTCTTAGCTCTTTTGTTTGTTTGGTTGGTTACCCCCTTTAACTACTATAGATTGGATAGTATACAAGAAACAGAAATTTCTTGGCTCACAGTTCTGGAGGTCAAAAGGTCCAATATCAAAGTGCTAGCATCAGGTTAGAGCCTTTTGCTACATCAGAAAATAGGAGAGGTATAAAGATAAGAAAAGATGGAGTCTTCATAGCCTAATCAACTTTTTAAGGCCTCATTTCTTACAGTGGAAACTAAATTTCAACATGAGTTTTGAAAGGGTTATTCTTAATAAGGAGGAAGTCAGCAGGGAGCACCAACTGACATAGGGAATCATCTTCATTCTTGATACTGGAGGACGCGAGTTACTGGATACTGGAGTCTGATGGCTGAGACTTCCCATTCACCACTTGCTCAGTTCCTCCATTGTCCTGTTATGACATGGGAATGATGGCACTTATTTACGGTATTGGGAGAAGGTTGGATAAAATGGTGCCTGCGAGGTACCAGGCATGTAGCACAGGTTTGAGAATGCTTATTTTATTGTTCATTGTTATTATTATTCAGTGTCCCATTTCTCCCTGTGTGCTGCCCAGTGGTTCACTACGAGGTTGAGATTTGGACTGGGGATATAGGTGGTGCCGGCACCACTGCTCGAGTCTTCATGCAGATCTATGGTGAGGAAGGCAAGACTGAAGTGCTCTTCCTCTCCAGCCGTTCCAAAGTTTTTGATCGGGCATCCAAGGACATATTCCAGGTATGTGGTGCGGAGACAGTTGGGTGCCAGCAGAAGTGCAGTGGACACCAAGGTGGTGCCTTGTATGATTGTATTTTCTCAGCCAATGGCTACTCAAGAATAGGCTACCTCCCTTCAGCTGTGTGGGAGATGCCACCTGGAGGACAGGTTGGGCCAGGGTTCCCTTGGCATCCTGGAAGGGGAGGGGAATCTTTTTGGGAGCAGCTAAATAAGGTGTATCATTTTGAACTTAGAGAGAGACCTGGATGCTTGGCTGAGTTCTACTTTGTGGAGTTAAAAAGTAACTCCTCTCCTCAGACTTGGCCTAAAAGGAAAGGACAGGACTAGACCAAAAGTTTCCATCTCTGCCTCATGTTCAAATCACTGGGGATCTTTATAAAAATCTAATCTACACCCTAGACCAATGTCTTCAGGGTGGGATGTCTTTCTTTTAAAAAGCTCTCCCAGTAATCAAGCCCACTGCTGATTCTGAGAACCACTAGAGTGGGTAGTTCTCACTTGACCAAGTATCTCTTGTACTCCTTTATGGGGCCTCTAACTCCCAAGCTTGGTGACAGGCAAGGCATTGAGGCATGCTAGAGCTTTGTGCTGTATTCTAAATGTCCCAGTTCTCTTTTCTTCCATTTTTGCAAACCTAGAGAAGAGGATTTTTCCCTGTGAACATGTTATTCACAAGAAGAGAGGATGTGGGGGGTAGGGGGAGAAATGAATATTTTGTGTTGGACATGAGAATATGTGTGTAAATGCACATGCACATCTGCAGATGTACAAGAAGCACGCTCTATATATTCATGTGCCACAAGTAAAAAAAAAAATCCTTCTCAAGTGCCCAAAGAAGAAGGCCAAGGCCACTCTGGATATTGGAGATGCAAGGTGCTCAGTTAGTTAAATGCCCTCATTGACTACAGATGAGGCTCTGAACTCTCTGAGCCTCAGCTTTTGCCTGGCTGGTAACATAGTCCCTGTAACAATCGAAAGAGTCAATGTCAGGGAAACTGAGACACTGATGGATAGGTGATGGAGTGGTTCATTTTCTAGAGGCCAGCTGGTGGATGTGATAGAGGCAAACTCAGCCAACAGGCAGATGTGAAGGTGACAAGCAAATCTGCTTGGGTTAGAGTGGTCACAGGGATGCTATGACCAGAATGAGAAGTGTGGGAGAGGAGAGTGAATAAGTTGAAGACATGAGTTCAGACCCAGCACCAATACCCTCTTAAGTAGCTGAGAAGGATGAATTCTTCTTCCCCTTACCTCTGGCTCCATCTTGACTGCTAATTTTCTCACAAAGGTAGTTCGACCATATTGTGGATTTATGAAGAGAGCATCTTGATCAGGAGACCTGTGTTTTCATCTAGACCTGTAATCAAATTGTGGGATATCTAAGTAACTATGCAATTGCCTAAGCCTCAGTTTCCCCTGGCACTCAAACTGGTGAAACTGGATTTCATAAAGGGCCAAATGCCACAACAGATACTCACCAGCATTAAGGTGTCCATGAGAAGACTGAATATCAGGGATGCTGTGTGAGCCTCCTTACAAGGTCTGCAGAGACCAGTCCTTAGCTCTATTACAGGTCCTTCCTGATAATATGAGGCTCAGGACAGACTGATAATGCCATCTGAGGCTGAGGAGTCCCTCTACCTGTCCATCAAATCCATGTCCACCATTCCCAGTGGAGAGAAACACAAAAGGAAGGTCTCTGCCCTTAAGCAATTCACAACTCCAGAGCACAAAGATGGTACCTGTTCCAGGGCCAGAGCCCTGGGCAATCTCAGCTCTCAGAATGCAGGAAAACACAAGCAGGCTGTGTGCTTGGGAGGGAGGGACCTGGGCCTTAAGACCTGGGTAAGATTTTTGTTTGCAGAAAAATAATAACTTTTTTTTCAAAAAAAAAAGCTTACTACAAAAGCTCTATCTACGTAATTCTGAATATAATACTGAAAGCAAACACAGAAAGGTACAAAGATTTTTTTAAAAGAAAAAAATAATAAAGCACAGTGATTAGACTTCAGTTAGGAGAAAGGTGGAAATAAAGGCAGACTAGACACAGGAACAGCATTAGCGAAGATGGAAATAGGACTAGTAGAAATGTGTGTGTGTGTGTGTGTGTGTGTGTGTGTGTGTGTGTGTGTGTTTGATAGAAAGAACTAGGGGGACCAGTGTGGCTACAACAGAGTGTAGGATGGAATACGTGTGGTAGGTTGGAGTCAGGCAGGAGGAACCAGTCTGGGTATGGTGGGGGAGGGAGAATCTTAGATGTTTGTGAATGTGGGTGCCTGGCTTCTCCAGCTGCAGTTCAGCACCTTGGCCAGTTCCTGGCTCCACAGGGAAGGCAGGGAGCATGCTGGGGACCACCCCAGCCACTGCCCTGCCCTTTGCACAGCTGGAGGCAGCAGATGTGGGTGAGATCTACAAGATCCGGCTGGGGCACACCGGTGAGGGCTTCGGGCCCAGCTGGTTCGTGGACACAGTGTGGCTGCGGCACCTGGTGGTGCGGGAAGAGGACCTCACACCTGAGGAGGAGGCCAGGAAGAAGAAAGAGAAAGACAAGCTGCGGCAGCTGCTCAAGAAGGAGCGCCTGAAGGCCAAGCTACAGAGGAAGAAAAAGAAGAAAAAGAAAGGCAGCGATGAGGAGGAAGAGAGTGGGGAGGAGGAGGAGTCTTCATCAGAGGAATCTTCCTCTGAAGAGGAGGAGGAGGAGGAGTCAGAAGAGGAGGAGGAGGAGGAGGAATATGGGCCTGGGATGCAGGCAGTAATTGAACAGCACAAGTTCGAAGCCCATCGTTGGCTGGCCCGAGGCAAGGAGGATGATGAACTTGTCGTGGAGTTGGTGCCAACAGGCCAGTCGGGTCCTGAGCGTAAGCCTGAAGAGGGGCTTGGGAGTGGGAGGGATGACTGTCTCTCTTGTATGGAGGCAAATAGGCTGGAACCCATCATGGTTCCTAAATAGCTCTCCTAATCTGCATCTGGAAAGCCACTACTGACCATTCTGCTTGGGCCAAGCAGTGCCCTTGTCCCAAGGCTCTCAGGAGGAAACAATGGCTTTGGGTGGTGCTCAGTATAACCAAATGTGGGGAGTAGAGGTGGGGGAGATTGATGAAGTTCACCTCTACTCTTCATTTTAGGGTGAAGGTAAGTCATGGGTGGAAGAAGGGTCTGTGCCAGGTTGGTATGGACCTACCTGTAGGTTCTTCTTGCCCACAGAATCTACCTGCATCTGTGAGGCTGGGCCCAGGTCCACCTCTGAGCTCAGGTGTCCTCAATGTTGCGCTTCTTTGTGTCTCCAGCTAATACTTATGAAGTCCAGGTGATCACAGGGAATGTGCCTAAGGCGGGCACTGATGCTAACGTCTACCTGACCATCTATGGTGAGGAATATGGGGACACTGGAGAGCGGTCTCTGAAGAAGTCAGACAAGTCCAACAAGTTTGAACAGGGGCAGGTAAAGTGAGGGCTTTCTGGACCCTTGTGTGGGTGGGTGGATGTGACTCACACATGGAGTGTAGTGGTTCCCATCATAATCCTACCCAGCAACATATCTGCTTCATTCAGTCTGTTCAAGTTTGATGACAGAGCCTCTTCTGTAATCACCAGTGCTTTAGATGGAAGGACAAAAAAGTCTAGATGTGTTCCTGCATGTGGAGCCCAAAGGTGACCCTCAGAAACAGCCAGGGAAGAATATCAGGTGTTGAGTGGACTGGGCAGGAGTTTGTGGAGAAATAGCTCACTACAAGTTGACACCTTGGGGAAGACTTGGTGGGAAGGAGTGACTGAACCTGGTAGATGGGAATTGGGTAGATGTACACAGGACAATGACAAAAGACAGGATGAGTGTATGAACAATGAGGTAGAGGTGAGAAAGTGGTGGAAGTCCAGCCTGAGCACTGAGCATCTCCTAGCTGAGCTGTGGCTGGTGCTTTCCAGCAATGGATGACTTTGTGCAAAACCAATGCTTTGCAGAGGTCTGGGTTTGGTCATGACCTTGAAAGTCAGGCCGAGAAACTTTTACTGTTTCCTGAGGTACTCAGACACTTCCAGATTTAGAAGGAAAAGCATGAAAAAAAATTAAGCTGTCATTTTTATTCTTGGAAATTTTATAGAAACCCTTGCCCCCTCATCTACCCTTTCCATCTCTGCCTCACCCCCAAACTGGATCCCCTCAACAACCAAAGAAGGAAAACAATAAACAAAATCCATTAAAATACTTTCAGGCTCATTGCTTGATTTCTTTCCTAGCATTTCCTTTCAGTACTCCTTCCTACAACTTGATGATCTGGGCTTGTTTCTGAGTTTAAGTGCTATAGCTATATGTTTAAGTGCTATAGCTATTATATTTACAAACTGATGAAATTTGACTATGGTTTGCAAATTGGAAAATAGTGTAGTCATGGAATGAGGCCTTAAGTTCAAATCCCAGCCTCACAAAGCAAAAAGATAATGTTAAAGCAATAATAGTCATCTGCTATGTAAGGACATTTCATAGCCAATGACAAATGGCATATATGGTGATGATCTCCTAAGATGATTTCACCTAGTGATGTCATAGCCATCTTAGTTTGTGTAATTATACTCTGTGGTGTTCACATGATGACAATAACAAATTTCTCGGAATGTGTCCCCATCATTAATCAACCCATGACTATTGTGTTGTTTCCTAATTGGATCATTGCGCTACAATTATATGGAATGTTCTTGTCTTGGAGAATTCATGCAGAAATATTTAAAGATGAAAGAGCGTAGTATCTGGCATTTATTTGCAATGGATTCAGTACAAACTAGCAAGAGGGAAGGAGAGTGAGCAAGACAGAGAAAGAGAATAATTCAGGAAATAATGCACCTAAGTGCAGAATTTAAGTGAAAGTGTGCAGACTTGCATTTGTACTATTTCTGTAAGTTTTCTGAAGATTTGAAACAGTTTTCCAAATAAAGAGTTAAGAAAAAAAAGTGTAGCAGGAAGATTCCCTTCCTTTATGGAGTCCCAGTATTATCTACTTCCTCCATGCATTTGATTCTCATAGACCTATATGTAATTCCATCTTCCCAACCAAAGAGGGAGCAAGTTCAAGATTTCTGTTTCTGTGGATCACTTTGGATTTCTACAGGACTGGCTAGCAGGTGCTTAACTTAAAAACAAAACAAAACTTGTGTTTGGACACACACAAGCCCAGGGTGTGAGTGCACAGAGAGATATTCCCTGCAAAGAGAGAGACATCCCTGCAAACAGAGAGACATTCCCTGCAAATGTGGGCATCTAGACAATCTGTCTTTTCCTCTGCCTCCTTCTTAATGTCACTATCACCTTTCTTCCCCTTCCACCTTCCTGGATATAACAAGAGTGAGAATATCCCCTGGCAAGAGCAGGTTTAAACACACACACACACACACACACACACACAATATGGAACAAATGCTAGACTAAGGAGCTGCATCTTCCATAATCCCCATCCTGGTTGCTTTCGGTGTTATGGTCCACCTCTGCAGACTCAGCTTCTTAGGAGAGTAGAGCTGACAGGTGGGGGAGAAGATGGTAGTTCTTAACCCCCACTGACTGCTACTTTCACCCTTCCTAGACAGACACCTTCACCCTCTATGCCATTGACCTAGGGCCTCTGACCAAGATTCGGATTCGCCATGACAACACAGGCAGCAGACCAGGCTGGTTTCTGGACAGAATAGACATCACTGATATGAACAATGAGATCACGTGAGTAAGGCTAGAGAAGAGGGAAAGAGACCATACCTGACACTAAGAGGGTCTCGGCGAGGGGTCTGGGGTGGGTTGAGTGATATCTGAAGTGAAATTGGGTTAGCTGTGACCTGCCATTGCTAGCAGTGTGGCTTTGCCAGTGGACTTTGCCTTTCTCCTTCTCATTAGACAGGCCCCTTGCTCTGCCAGACAAGACTTTGGGAGAATACCTACTCAAGTAGTGCTTGCCCATCAATTCTGATGGTTAGACTTTTTAGTTCCTATCAGATTCCAGTGGCCCGGTGTTCCCTGTCCACCCAGAAGACTCTTCATAAAAAAGAAGTCAACTACCAGCACCTGGTTTTATCATTGATGGACCAGTGATTAACAATGGTTTCTGTAAAGGCCATGTAGAGAATATTTCCAGTTTTGCTGGTTTCTCCTCAGAATCCACTCAGCTGGAAGCTGGGCGCCGGTGGCTCACACCTGCAATCCCAGCTACTTAGGAGGCTGAGATCTAAGGATGATGGTTCTAAGCCAGCCCGGGCAGAAAAGCCCATGAGACTCTTATCTCCAATAAACCTTTTAGAAAAAGCCAGAGGTGGCCCTATGGCTCAAGTAGTAGAGCACTGGCTTTGAGGACAAAGAGGTTCAGGGACAGTGCCCAAGCCCTGAGTTCAACCTCCAAAACCAGAAAGAAAGAAACAGCAGCTGGAGCTGGGCACCTTCAGTGGCTCATGTCTGTAATTCTCGCTACTCAGGAGGCTGAGCTTTGAGGTTGATGCTTCAAAATCAGTCCAGGCAGGAAAGTCAGTGAAACCCTTATCTCCAGTTAGCTACCAAAAAGCCAGAAGTACAGTTGTAACTTTCAAGTGATAGAGTGCTGATTTTTAGTGAAAAAGAGCTATGGGACAGCACCTAGGTCCTGAGTTCAAGATTCACTACTGATACAAAACAATAAAGAGCACTAATGTAATTGTAACCTCTTATTACCTTTATAATAGCAATAATAAAAGCAGCTGGCATGGAAAAGCACAGCTTTGTTCCAATGAACTTTATTTATGAGGCACTAAATCTTAAATTTCATACAACCTTCACATACCACAAAATATTGTTCTTCTATAGGCTTCCCCCCCCAACCACTTGAAAATGTAAAATCAAGCGAGGCATGGTGACCCACGCCTGCTTAGGAAGCTGAGATTCATGAATTGAGGCCAGCCTGGACTACTTAGGGAGACTCTGCCTCAAAAGACCAAGAAATAAGTGCAGATATATTTATAAGTATTAATATATATTATAAATATAAACATATATATATATTAAATACAAAACCTATGTTTGGCTGGTAGAACGCACACCAACAGGTGGTAGGTCAGATTGGTCCCTGTCAGACACTTACATTCACCACTTAAAGTAGGCCAAGAAGCAGATGTGGGATCCTTCCCAATTAATGCCAGAGCAGGACCATCAGTGTGGAATCTGGTGTGTTTCCCACCCTCAGGCCACATTGCCTCTTGTGCAGGAAGGGCCGGGCAGTAATTGCGAGGAAGGAATCCCCTCCAAGGGAAGTAGAGTGGGCAGAGGATAGTATGTCAGCCCCTAGGAGGGCTTCAGGGTGCCTGAGGGCCTGCCAGTACCTGAGATTCTGTGAGCACTCAATAAATAAATATTTGTCAAATTAAATCCACTTATAGGCCTGTGGCCTGTCTCTTGGAGTATGGCTTTTTCTCTCCCCACCTTGTCCCAATATTCCAAAGGGACACAAGCATAGCTTACAGATGGTCCAGGGTCATGGGTACCCATGAGATTGTGGTGGGCACATGACTGGGAACCAGAGTCTGGCCTGGGCGCTCTCCCCAAGCTTTTGTGCTCAAAGCCAGCACCCTACCACTTGAGCCATGCCTTCACTTCCAGCCTTTTGGGTGGTTAATTGGAGGTAAGAGTCTCGCTGACTTTCCTACCTGGGCTGGCTTTCACCTGAGATCCTTAGATCTCAGCCTCCTGGGTAGGTAGGATTACAGGCGTGAGCCACTGATGCCTGGCGTTATTTCCTCTCCTGATAATTGCATGTCATGATGCCAGCCCTGATTACTTCTCAAACTGTTCTGAGAACCTAAGGCTTTGGGACTTGAAAAATATAAAGTGCTGTTGAAGTGCAAGGTTAGAAACAAACTAAGAACATCCTGCTTTCCCTCGGTCAGTGCTAGTTATTCTCTGCCATTGATTTGACATTCTGGTCCAGCCCAACAATTTAAAAATTATTGTTGCTTTGTAATCTAGTTGAATATCTGTCAGCACTTGTCCTCTTTCCTTATTCTTTAAAAATATTAGCTGTTCCTACCTTTTTCAAATCAAGACATTAAGTGATTTGAAAGAAAAGAAAAAGAGAAAAGAAACAAAAAAACTCCCTGTTGGAATTTAGATTGTTCTGCCATTAAATATATGTATGAAGGTCTACATATTTAGAATGTTAAGTGCTACTTCTTAGTAGTCTTTTCCTCTTACCCAGCTGTTCCTTTATATATCTTGGTAATCCCTTATAATTTTCTACATCTAACTGCTACTCATTCTGGTTAAGTTTATATTATATTATATTTTTATTGCTTTTGTGAATGAAATCTTCTCATTACTCTTCTTTCCCCCCTTTCCCTCTTTCCTTTTTTTACCCTGCTCTTTCTTTCTTCCTCCCCTCTTCCTCTGCCTTATTCTTTTCTGTAGGTTTCACTGGTTTAGACTTGGTTAGTAAAGAAAATAAACAAAACAAAACGAAAACTTCTCCAGTAAGGCTCTTTGCCAAGTCAGCTTCAGTAACCTTCACGCCAAGGGACTTCGAGCCAAGCTTACTTTGAGAGAGAGATATTCAATCACAGAAGACTAGAAGAACAGATTTTCTACTGCAAATCTCCTATCTTTTGGAGAGAGACTGTCTCTGCAGTACTCTGGGCTCTCTGGGCTCTCTCTGGCCTTTATTGCTCAGGAACCAAAGCTCTGCAGGCAGGAGTCTTGGAGAACACGGACATCATCCCTCACCCGCTTTAGACCAAGTCAACAACCTCCCTGGGATCTGAACATCCTCAAATCTTCCCTGCCTCTCATGCTTACATCATCTTTACCACCCTACAACTCAGGTCCTCCTAGTGTCTAAAGCAGCCAGGGTGTCAGGATCATGTTATGCTTCTGCTTACAAACCTGCCATTTGCAAGACATATGCCCAGTGATCTGCCTGGCCTGAAAGGTCTGCCCTGTGCCCCCTTCTATCTCTTTATCTTGGTTGCTGTCTACTTCCCATCACACTTATTCTTTGCTTCCCTTTAAACCCAATAGATATGGTCCCTCCCCCTCGAGGCCTTCGCATTGGTTGTCCCCTCTCCCTGTCTGTCCTTCCCCCTTGCTCAGATGTTACTTTCTGAGTGAGGCCTAGCATGCCCCTCTCCCTTTTTTTTCCCTTCTCTGCTTCTTTTTTCCTGGGTAATCTGACCTATAATAAACTGGTGTATTTAGCCTTTATTATCTCCCTGAAAATGGCATTTTGAGTAATAACTTTCTTTCTGTGTTACTGCTGTGTCTCCCCAGTACCCAGAAGAGAGCCTGGCAGAGCACTATGTTCTTGTCATTATTGACATCGTCAGTTTATTTATATTTGACGTTTTCTTGCTTTTAGCTTATACCCCAATGTGGGAAATTCCATATGAAATCATTTACACTTACAACACTCAACTCTACAAACTCCTCATTCAATGTTTTACTTTGAAGTGAGGTTTTTATTCATAGTCCCAAGCTCTGACTCAAACCTTGAATAAACCTCCAGCTCACTCTGGACCATCTACTTTCTTCCCCTTGCCCTACTCTAAGCATTGTGGTATGTGCCCTGAGCATACTTAGCACCAAATACCTGCATGCCTTTCTCAAAACACTCCTGCTTGCTCACGCCCATGTTCCCAGAGACCTGCTTGAGCAGGATTGATGGAATAGAGTGGCCCATCTCCGCTAACTTCCATGTGTGTTTGTTGGCAATGAGAAGAAGGAGGCCAAGCTTTGAGCACCCATCCCAGGCTTGGCTCTACTCTGGTTCTGTCTGTCTATCCTCTGGTATTGCAGCTGTGAGCGTGACGGGGAGCCTCGCAGTCCTTCTGCTGGTGTCTCTGGGAGAATGGAACTTGTGCTCCACCAAAGCCAGCAGGCTCCCCTCCTGTGTTCGAGGGATGGGAATGGGAGGCTTTATGCCTTTCCTTTCTGTTTTTCTGACTTTATTCCCTCTCTCCCTAGTTCACCGCCCCCCCCCAGCTCTTTCTTTGTGTCTGCCACACTGACTTCCCTTTCTCATTGTCTCTGCCTTACCCTGACTCCACCCTCTTTTATCTCTTCTCTCTCCCATAATTTAGAGCTACAGCCCATTATTCAGAAGTTGTTATTTGGTTGAATGAAACTTTAACTTTCCCGTTCATCCATTTAAAAGCTGAGAAGTAGAACAGTATTCATTTTTATGTGCAAACACTGATGTAATGGTCCTTTCACTCATAGTACCCTAGGTTGAGCTCCTCCTGCCTCTTTACTCTATGTCCATCAATATAAAACTGCCCCTCCCTACTTATCTGAGCCCACCTACGGAGCTCTTGCTCACGGACTCGAGAACATGCTGGTGTCAGTGGTGTTAGGAAAATGGAGGAGAAAGGAACAGTCAACTCAGTCTCAACAGGGTAGGACTGTGTTGAGGCACAGCAGCAAGGGACAGCAAGCTTCCTGCGGGAATCCAGGTTGTGTGAGGGGGATGGATTTGGGGCCGAGCTTATGGGGGTTTTAACAAGGAAGCAGAAAATAAAAAACAGGTTACGGTCTCTTGGGGACCAAGAGCAAGCACTTTTGGCCAGGCCCAGAGTGGAATGCTCTACCTGGGGTGAGGGAACTTACAGCTAAGCCCAGGTTGGAATGACCTGCCTGTGCTCAAGCATATGCGCATGTACCTGGTGCCTTGCTTGCCCTGGGGAAATAAAGTGGGGGTCAGCCCTTCAAGTGGTACTGAATACCTTAGGAAAATGTGGGCCTAGCTGGAGTCCAGAGCCTCAGAGCACACTGGCCATTCTTAGACTCAGACTAGTCCCCAGTGGGCCTTTATCTAGCAGGGCAAAAAGGGGAAAGGCTCAAATGGAATGCAATGAGGGGTGATTCTTGGAGCTTGGGAACTAGAGGGGAGGTGCCCAGCCTACAACATCTGGAAAGTCCGGCCTGGCTGAGGAGAAAGAAAAGGAAGGGAAATAATATCCACAACCATAATAGCATTACAAATTCTTACCAAGAGCCTTCTCACCATACAGGTATGTCCCAACTATTGGATGAGATATACATGAAAACATGTCCAAAAGGCAAATATTACCGAGACTCCTCAAAGACCAAATCTAGCAACCCTAGCACAGAGAGGTAAAGGGACTTGCTCAAGATCACACAATGAATAGTAGTGTTAAATGAGAATTCAATCACGAGATATGGAGAAGCAACACTTTGAGAAGTCGAATCAGGAGTCTTTATTAGAAAGCCAGCAACTGCAGGCAGATATGTGTCCCCCCAAAACTTGCAATTTGGAAACTGAGCCATGAGGGTAGCAAAGGAAGAGCAGAAAAGCAGTCCTAACAAATCAGATCAGTTCTAATGGAGAGCTGAAGAGGAACACCATGGTGACCTGCGGAGAGTCAGAGACATGAGGCATGGCTCAAAATGGTGGCAGAGATGATTGGGGCCTAAAGAGGGTCATGGTCAGGGGGCAGTGTCACAGGGAGTTCAAGAGTTCAGAGTCTTGAACGTTCATGGTACAGGTCTGTCAGGTTCAGCAACCTACTGTCCAAGTCCCCACTCCTCTCTCCTGGAGGTAGTACTCCAACTCCAAGAGGTTTTGTAAATTCCTTATCATTTACCACGCTGCCAACATGGCACTAGTTAGACCCAGGATCCTGATTTCAGCAGGAGAGCTGGGATTTATAGCCCCAGATGATCTGGTTACAAGGACAAGGCCATGGTTACCTCCTTCCCTCATCCTAGTCTACCTTCCTTCTGTCCAGTCCCTTCCATCACCAATGGGTCCTGCCTCTTCTTGGAGAAGTGTGACTTTTACCACCCTTCCCCAGATGGCCCACCCATCTCTGCCTGCTCCTTAACCACACACTGTATGATCCAAAAGCAGAACTGGTTCCTTTAATCATGAACCCAGCACATGCGTATGAAGCATCTCTATGCACAACACTCTCTGTTAAAGTACTTCTGACTCATAAATTGATTCCAGAAAGGAAGTCCTTCTCCAAGATCCACCTAATATAACCCTGACTGTGAGTTTCTATGCTCCAGGCATGTAACACAGCTATCTTTAATGAGGTATTTGGAGACAATGTCTCCATGTTTGTTCTCTACTCTAGACAAGTGACTCATGGCTAATTCTCAGTGTGGGTAGGATGGGAGGGTGATGCTTTCAGGGGCAGATAGGGAGAGTCTGGGCTTGATAAAGGGCCCCTCATTCTCAGCCTGAGACTTCTCTTTCGTGAGACCTTTCCAAGAGAACATTGCTAACCTTCCCTTCCCCATCCACAGGTACTACTTCCCATGCCAACGCTGGCTGGCAGTGGAGGAGGATGATGGCCAGCTATCCAGGGAGTTGTTGCCAGTGGACGAGTCCTATGTGCTGCCCAGTGAGGATGACGAAGGTGGGGGGCATGGTGACAATAACCCCCTGGACAACATGGCGCTGGAACAAAAAGGTTTTCTAGCTTAGAGCTGATTTTCTCCTTTCAGCATCCTTCCTCTATCTCTCTTCTTCCTCTTTGGGTCTTCCATCTGCTTTTCCTTGTTCCAGGCTCTGGATACGTCCTCCTCTGACAATCAAGCTATCCTGCCCTCTATTCCTCTATGGCAAAGTTGAGTAGTTCAGGGACCAGGAATGGTGGTTCACAAATGTAACTCCTACGACTCAGGTAGGGAGAAAAGTAGGGGGATTGCAATTTGAGGCAAGCTTGGCAAAATCTTAAGACCCTATGCACAAAATAAAGCAAAAAAGTGTTGTGATTTAAGTGGTACACGGATCTGCCTAACAAGCGTAGGATACTGAGTTCAAACCCTATTTCTGCAAAGAAAATTAAAAAAAAAACATAGGGAGGCTGAGGTAGGGATATATGTTCCTATGTGTGTAGCACAAGGTTTGGTATAAAGCCCATGGCTGTGAATGGAGATATTGTCAGGAAAGGAATTATTGAGCTTCCTGCCCCTGTATCATCTTCCTCCCTCCAATCACATTTAGTCTCCTGATGCATTTGTGCCTTAGGCAGCCTTCCAAAGCCCTGTGGTGCTTGAGCTCTCTTCCCTGAAAGGCTTCCCAGCCTGGAGGAGGTCACAAAGGTCAGCTGGCTATGAACCTCTGACTCCTGTTGCCACTCATTGTCTCCCCTAACCATCTTGTCACCTCTGTTGATGGAGAGTTTTCCTATGTTAACGGAGACAGGGAGCATTATCTCTACCATCTGAAAATTTTCAATGAAAGGCAACTGCAGAACAACACGTACCACAAGGAAAGCCATTTGTTGAAAGGGCTTCCATGACTGTAGACGCATGTTGACTGTTGAACGTGAGGCTCACAGCTTTAGGATTGGAAGAGCTGGAGCAATGAAGACAGAGGGGTAAATACAGGAAGACTGGTCCCTTCATGGAACTCCAGAGCCATCTCCAGCTCACTTCTCTATGCTTTTCTCCTGCCAGATAAATCAACTACATTCTCAGTGACCATAAAGACTGGGGACAAGAAGAATGCAGGCACAGATGCCAACGTCTTCATCACACTCTTTGGCACACAAGATGACACTGGTGAGAAAGTATGCAGGGCCAAGCGTCCCCCATATTCCTCCCCTGGAGCATGAGCCAGAAGTTTCCTAGGAAACCCTGGTCAGGCCTCCATCTCCCAACTGATTACAGCCCTTGACCCCATCAGCTCTGTTTTTCCTACAAAATCTGCTTTGTTGTTGACCAGCTTTCTCTTCTTGTTCTAGTAGCAGTGAAACTCTAATCCTAACTCCCCCTAACACCTTCTAAAAGTAGATGTCTCCAGTTTCAGTGAGGCTCAGCTTGGAAACCCTGAGGTCTTCCCCCTGTGAGATGTGCAGGGAGTCCTAGAGTTAGTTCAGAGCTTCTGCACAGGAACTCCAAGAAGGTAGTGTTTAATGTTGTGATGGCCATCCACTCATGCCAGTCTGCCTGAGTTTTGCAGGGGTCAGTTTCTCAAGCAGTCATCACTCATTAGTGTGCCACCCTGTGAGTCCAGGCCCCTAGAGAGTGAATGGTCCTGATTCTTCACTATGAGCTGCTTGTATCCTACTATACTCTAGTGCTAGTGGAGATACTGGTTCTGGGGCTTCAGTGATTGGCTCAAACTTCCACCCCATCATGAGCAAATGTACTATGAGCAAGATGCATGGCCTTTTTGCAACTTCATTCAGAATATTTGTAAAGATAAAACTAGTCTCATAGAGTTTTTATAGACTTAATGAAATTGAGCATGTAAAATATTCAAATCAAAGTTATACTCGATAGACAGTAATCATTATTATTTGATGGAGTACATAAAGCAAATAATGTATAATTAGACAATTAGGTCACAATGGTGGTTCCCAAACCATGGCAAAGGAGTTGATGAGCCCTAACAGCTGCATTTATTTGCTTAGGATTTTCTCTGTGTTACACACATTCTTGAACACTTAGCAGCCATCATCTTATTAAGTATTCACAATAATCCCACAGAGAAGACACCAAAATCACCTCTTCTTCATATTTTGGGAAATCAAATCTCAGCAACACCAAGTGATTTGTCTAAAACCACTAGATGGTAAGAGAGAGGGACAAGCATTATATCAATGTCTTCCTGAGTTCATGCACTTAAGTCAATCTACAAGTAGGCTGTCACTATCAAAAGATTTTTCTCCATGTGTTGGCTGAAAAGGAGGGGATATCTCTGAGTCTGGGACCACCCCAGATTTCAGACTATCGCCAGCCCTTGAGTCCTGGGAAGATTCTATGTGAGAGTGGGCTTGTGGGAGGCAATTGACATCATCTTTCTCTGTCCAGATAAGTCTCCAGAGAATTCTCATATTCCCTATTTCCCCTGGAGGTCCCTGTTTTTCCTAGTGAGTGTGGCCAGAGTAGTTTCGTCCTTGAATTCCCTCTTCATGTGGAGAATTGTGAAGGGTGTGGAAAGAGCAGGTATTGACTAGGAGCCTCACCACTCCCTCCAAGATTGTTATAGATAAGATCTTCATTTAGATATAAACTAGACATGAAAAGGCTTACCTCATGCGGAAGGTTATTTCTTTAAGATCAGCAAAAGAAACACACACACACACACACAACAGGCCTAACATACAGAGGTGCCCAATGGATGATAATTGCATAGTCTGGATTTGATAGAAATTTAGCAAGCTTGTCTTTATGAGATGGGACAGGGAGGGTAGGTCCAACCAGATTAGAATGGTCTCAAGGCTGTCAAGTTATTCTGGAATCATCTTATTGGCAGGAATAACCCTCCTGAAGTCCTCAAAGACCAACACCGACAAATTTGAGAGAGACAGCATTGAAATCTTCACAGTGGAAACACTGGATCTGGGAGACCTGTGGAGAGTTAGGATCGGCCATGACAACACAGGTCTGGCTTTCCTCCCCTCCTTCCTCTGCTAAAACTGTAAGGACCATGGATAGGTCCCTATGGGCATCTGGGAAAGATTTGGATGCCATTTACCTTCCACAGTGATACAGTTTCTCACCCTCCTCACTCAGTAAAACCCTGGCTGCCACAGAAACTCTAAATGGAGCAAGGCCTGGATGCTGGAAATTTTTCAAGCCAGTTTCTAACCTAAGTAATTCTAATGTGCAGCTAGACTGGAAAGTCCCTGATAGAACTCAGTGGTTCTGTAACTTGAATGTGTATCAGAATCACATGAGGTAGAGTGCATAGAGTATTTAACATATAGATTTCTGGGCATCACCCCAGAGCCATTAATTCAGTAGGTCTGGGAAATGCCTTCAACATGTAGATCATCCAAGGCCCTATGTAGTACAGAGGCTGCTGGTCTGGTGACCTCATTTGGGGAACCACTGATCTAACTGGTCCTTTGCAAAACCCATGAACACGTCAGCCAGATTTAAAATGTGCCTATTCTCTCTGCATAAAGTAGGATTTGTTCTTGGTCCTTAAGCCTGGAAGGGACCTTCTTCCTAGAACTCAGAATTGTCAGGAGTGTAGAGATAGGGTTCTTTGCTTGACTTCCATTTCCTTCATTAGGCTGGAGTGCTCAGATTTCCCCCAGGGAAACCAAACACTCCTCTACTTATTCCTCTTCCCTTCATCCATCCTAAACTGAGCCAGTGGGCTGTGAGCATCATCCATGGATTGAATAAAATGATAAAGCCTTTGTGGGCATAGGTCCTCTTTGGCATTTTTGTGCTCCCTGTTTGGAGCTACTCCCACCCTGCATAGCATACCCCCTTGGTCAGACTCCCCTACCCTTCTGTCATTTCTCTGCTGTTGCTAATTTCACTGATAAAGCCTGGATTGTAAGCCGGCTCTGGCCAGCTCACATTTTCACAGGGGAAGGGGTGATATGGGACTTGGGAAAGGGTGGCTCTAGTGTTAACCATCCAGGTGGGAAGGATGTTTGGAGTTCCTGAAGACACTCACAGGAAGATATCTCTGTACAAGCCCCTGAGGGGTTCTGTGTGTGTCTCTCTCCAGGAAAGGCCCCAGGCTGGTTTGTAGACTGGGTGGAGGTGGATGCTCCCTCTCTTGGAAAGCGCATGACATTTCCCTGTGGCCGCTGGCTGGCCAAGAATGAAGATGATGGGATGATCGTCAGGGACCTCTTCCACGCGGAGCTTCAGACAAGGCTGTACACACCATGTAGGACCATATGCAGTGAGGCTGGCCTTCTTCAGGGTCCTCATCACCTATCACCTCCCCTCCAATTCCTTATCCAGAATTGACTGGGCAGGGCTCATTTTGAAGACTGGACTCTCTTGATCCTTCCCCAGATTTATTTACTGAGTTGGAGAAGGGAGCAGAGAGCCTGCCTAGTCTTGGATCAGAAGATTCATTCCAAACTCCAACCTAAACTAACTAGTGATCAACGACACATAGAGAGCCTAACTTCTCCAGGGATCAGTTTTTCTCATGAGCAAAATAGACATAATAACGCAGGATGATTAGAATATTCCAAAAGAATGGTTTACTGGTGAGGAATTAAGATCAACACCTTTCACATTATTCTAGGTTTTGGGGGGAAGAAATAGTTACCATAAGAGTTTTCTTCTGCTGATGGTAGTAGTAGGGAAAAATCCAATAAAAGGACAAATGGAATTCCCTTTACTGGACAAAGCAAAGGAGGAGAGTTTGGTGATGTTTTACATTTCCTCTCCACTGTTATTAGCCAAATATTCATATTAAATCTTTACATATGTCTATGTGTATATTAAATATTAATTGAATTGAGATCAATCAAATAGTAAAATAATCTGTCTGAACTTGTAGGCCAGTCATGGCTCATACCTGTAATCTGAGCTGCTTAGGAAGTGAATACAGGATGAACGGAGGTTTGAGGTAGCCCATGTAAAGTCAGTATGAGACCAAAAAATAAACAACCAGAAAACCCCATCTAAAGAAAAAGGCTGAGAGCATAGTTCAAGTGATACCAAGCATAGAGATCTGGGTTCAGTTTTCTTTTTATTATTCTTTTTTTATTTTCTTTTACTATTTCTTTTTATACATTCATCTACAAACACAGCAACCAATAAGTGTTGCAAAAATTCATCTTAGTGATATGCAATGATGTTATCCATTTGATTCTATTCAATTCCGTATGCTTTTTAAAATACCCATGACAAAGCCAGGCACTGGTGGCTCATGCCTATAAGCCTAGCTACTTAGAAGGCTGAGGTGTGAGGATCTCGGTTCAAAGCCAGCCCGGGCAGGAAAGGCTGTGAGACTCTTATCTCCAATAAACCACCAGAAAACCAGAAGTGGCACTGTAGCTCAAGTGGTAGAACATTAGCTTTGAGCTGAAGAGCAGGGACAAGGCCCAGGCCCAGAGTTGAAGCCCCACCACTAACAAAAAAAAATGCTGATGACAGCTCACTAAACTCAATCTGTATTGACAATGCATTGTTTTATACAACTGGTTTCAAACTTCGGTATAAAGGATTTGTTGGAGCCATTGTGCAGACAGCTGAGGACCAGGCTGTTTCTTTACAGATAATGGAACCTGTGGCTTTAGTTTAGGATCAAGCTTGTTGAGTTCCACACACTATGTCCTCACCAGTGTGCTGCAGTAGTTCTGCAGTGTGTGACGCTCACAGACCCTGGCCAGAGGAGTCAGGACTTTCTGTAGACAAGACTACCCCCTCCCCCGCCATGGTTGCTAGGCAACTATATATGTTCCAGGTCCATAGGTAGCAGCTTCCCATGAAAGGGTTCAGGAGGATGATGCTGATGAAGAACTTGTCCTCATCTATATTTGTCTTCTATTCTCTCCTCCCCTCTGAACTCGTCCTCTGACCACTCCTGTCAGTTGTCCCTTACGAGATCACTCTCTACACCAGTGATGTCTTTGCTGCTGGGACAGATGCCAACATCTTCATTGTCATCTATGGCTGTGATGCTGTGTGCACCACACAGAAGTTCCTGTGCACCAACAAGAGGGAGCAGAAGATGTTCTTTGAGAGGAAGTCTGCCTCCCGCTTCATTGTGGAGGTACCTGGATCAGTGGGCTAGCCACCGAGGGCATGGAATGGGCAACTTTTTCAATTTCTCTGAGCTCCAGCAACTCTAGCCAACCTGAGGAACAGTGAAGTTTGTCCTAGCCCTCTGGACATTTCAGGATCAACGGCATGATGGGTAGCTAGGACTTGGGGAGATGATAAGTATGAGGCCAACAGGGCATCTCCAGTCCTTCTACCACACATCCATAGATGGAACAAGGCTTCCAGACAGGCTGAGGCTGGGGTATAGGTGGGTTTGAATCTTACTAGCAGGACCTCATAGACATAGAGCTCAGCTTTTAGGTGTCAGCTTCCTAGCTTCTAGTCTTTAGGTGAACAATTTGACACGAGACCATCTTTCATGTTCCAGAACATCTTCTCAGGTCTGGACAAATAGAGCTTCGGTTCTTCCATGTTTACTCTGGATGTTGGGACCAGCACATCAGAAGCCCATGTGCTTTTCTTCAATACAAACTCAGGGCTTCTGTTCTGGATTCCCCGCCATGTGCTAGGCTGAATGGGAAATACAAAAGAAGGAGGGAATCCAGACTGCTTGCCATGTTTCTACTCTTGTAAAGTATGAGTCTTGAAAACTCGTGTGAAAGTTGTGTCTCTCCTGTCTATGTTGCTCTACCTCTCTACTTCTGATAGGTCTTCATGTCAGTAGTCTATGCAATTAGGGACTTCAGACGTCCACACAAACAACATTCTCTGCTGATTGATACCATTACTGACCATGTAGGTGAGAGAAACGCTACTCACTGATCCCTCACAACAGCCCAGTGCTGTTCTGATCCCTGGGTAAAGTCAGGGAAACTGAAGCACAGAGGAATTTAGTGGCTAGGAATTTAGTGAGAGAAGAATCTAAGCCCAGGAGGACTGACTAGAATATAGAATAGAGAAGGAAGAAGCTTCTGGAAAAGGTGGCTTTCAGCTGAACATGGAAGTGGACATAAGCAGGAAGAAGGAGGAAAGGCACTCGAGAGAAAACGGCATACCCAATGGCCCAGATGTTGGGGGAAAGGCACTTGACTTGAGGGTTGGTCAGAGGGCATGGAGTAGCACCATAGGACTCAGGTGGAGGGCAGGAATGAAGCTGCCAGGAGCTTGGGGAGCCTAGTGGAGACACATCCCTTATTTTCTGGTGGGAAATATCCTTATCCTTGGTAAGTGATGGTCCTCGTCCATTCCCTCTCTCAGAGCAGTCAGCATTTGTGGGAAATTCTGTCACCTTTATTGAGTCTTAACAAAGAAAACGCAAGGCTGATTCATGTATTCACACAAAGCTAACATTTCACCACTGGAGATGGCGTGGTACTTGAGTCATCCGAGCCTGATGCCGTCAGAGGCCAAGGCTGCGGTTACACTTCTGCAGAACACCCAGGGACTTTCATCAATGAAGTCCTCATTAACACACAGCTATAATTTGCCAGTAATTTGTTGCTATTTTTTCTTTTCACATCTCTCATGGGCTTGGGGAGTATGAGAGCTTAGAGTCCAATGTAAACGTGTTGTCTTTTAGTCTCTGCCTTTCCGGCCTATGTGTCCTTCCTTTTCTGATGGATTTTTCACTTGAAAGGTAGAACACTGGATGGAAAGTCATTCCTGACTCTGATTCTGCCCCTAACCCCTAACTAAGCCATTCCTTTTTCTCTGTAGCCCATCTTAAGAGGAAAGGGCTGGACAGGAAGAAGACAGACAATAAGGGCTAGGAGGTGCTGAACCCTTCACACCTGCTAGTCTTGTTCTAAAGACTTGATGTAGATTAACTCACAAGAATCCTCATGGCACTTCCAAGAGAATGGTCCTCTCTAATCATTCCTCATCACAGATGAGCAAACAGTGGAAGGAAGGTTAGAAACGTGCTCAATGGGGACATGAAACAATAGAGCTGGGATCTGGACCCAACAGTTCAGCTTCAGTGCCTTTCCTGTTAATGCTATCATGTCCCTTCTGATGCAGATGTCCTCTGAGCCCATCTCTGAGGGCCCTCTCTGTGGGTAGCAGTTCCCTGAAGGCCTCCAGGCTTTCTGAGCTGTAACAGCTAAGACAGTCACCCAGTACCTACCTGGCTGTGGGTTAAGGTCATAGAAGATCCATCCAAGACAGAGACCTACACATCTATAAAAAGATGTGACAAGGAAAGGAGGGGAAAAAGGCTTCTGAACAGAGGGAAGGAAGTGGCTCTTCATTCACTGGCCTTACCAGGCAGCTGAGTCCTCCCTCTATGGGGATCTTGTAGACCACGGGCATCACCCAGGCATCTGTGCTTCTCAGGGAGGGAAAGCCTTGGAAAAGTATGCTGGCCACTTATTGCCAGCTTGACAGCCCTGGTATTTGTTTAGTGACTCAAAGCCCTCTTGGGGCTCACAACCCTTTATAAACCATGCTATGAGAGAACTTTGTAGAGATTTGACCTTCTTGGAGAAATACAAAGGGCTTTCCGGAGGAATCAGTAGGAAGCAACACTGGAGCTGAGATCTGAATGATGAGATTGGGTGGTCAATAGAATCAAATAAAGAAAAGGAAAGTGGAGGGGCTGGCAAAGCATGTGCAAAGACCCCATGGAAAAAGAATGTCAAGTTAGGAGGGGAGGCTATTACAGGTTGGAAGTCAGCCTGACAAAACAGGAGCACAGATGGAAACAGAACTCATTTTCTGATACCCAATTCGGTTCTTAAACATGGAACGAGCTGCTATAATAACAAGTCATAGAAGACAGAGACCAGGCTCCACCTGAAGACTGAGACCACTTCCAGAGAAGCTGGAGTTCAGTGCTGGAGGCATGGCTGGCTAAGTGGAGAACGGGGAAAAGAAGCATGGACATGCAGTGTGCAAGGGGTTGGCAGCGTGATAGGCTGGACAGTGGAGATGTGTTGGGAACGAGGGACTCCTGGAAGGTCAAAGGGGACTTGAGAATGGATGCCCTGGGAGGTGTGGTATGGAGGCCTTTCTCCTAATACCTGGTGGCTTTTCTCCTTTCCAAGTTAGAGGATGTGGGTGAAATCATTGAAAAAATCCGGATTGGCCATGATAATACAGGCGTAAATCCTGGATGGCACTGTTCACACGTGGACATCCGCAGGCTCCTCCCGGATAAAGATGTAAGTTTATGATGAGCCTATCCTTCTCTTTTTTTATCCAATTCCAGAAGTCTTTTGTCCAATTCCAATTCAAGACAGACTCCCCCACTCACAACTTCCACTTTATTGAGATCAAATCTGAGGGAAAAAATTCACTCCCTTTATTCAGAGTGCAAGAACTAGCTCAGATGGCAGAGCCTTCTAGAACCTGATATGGTGGTCAAAGAGGAAAGTCTGAGCAGCCATGTCTCTGCTCCCCAGAGGCCATACTACTAGTGAGTGGCCAGTATGTTGCTGCTACTCCAGATCCACTTCAGAAGAAAACCTGCCTTGAATTACTTGGGATACATTCTGGAAACCACAGAACTCTACATCTCAATCATAGCTATGGAGTACAGAGCCCTTACCCACTGAACTTTAGTCTCTGGGATGAGATTTAGATATTTAGTTTGTAGTGACCCTGGCAACCCCATCCTTCAAGTACCATCTCCTGATACAGTTGTGCACACCCTTAAATTGAGATCTATTTAGGCAAGAAGGTTCCTCTACACTTTCCCATGGGCCCCATGATGTTTGTTCTTGGTCCTGACAAGTGCTAACATGCTAATGAACCACTGAAGTCAGCAGCTGCTACAGGTATGGTTTTCATCCTCACCTCAGGGTACAGAGACCTTGACTTTCCCATGTGATCGGTGGCTTGCCACCTCTGAGGACGACAAGAAAACCATTCGAGAGCTGGTCCCTTATGACATCTTCACCGAGAAATACATGAAAGATGGCTCGTTAAGGCAAGTCTACAAGGAAGTGGAGGAGCCTCTGGACAGTAAGTGTGGGGGGAGATGTACCTCCATATTGCAGGCAGCTCTTTGTAGAACATGTGCCCCATGCTAGGATGAGCCTTCTCATGCAGAAGGAAGCTCTGATTGTTACCTTCAGGCTGGCGAGAGGGAAAGTTATATAACCTGCCTAAGGTCACACAGCTAAAAGTGACAGAACTAGCCCACTTATTTCCCTTCGAGGTTTATGTTCCATTCCCATCCTGACCCAACATTATTATAATAATACATCCACATAGGGGTTGTCCCGTGCCTGAGTTATACTGGTTAATTGATTCTGTTTATTTGGTAACCAGTTCATATGTGTTCTCTGCTTTCACTGGATCCAGTGGCTCTAAGTATGAGTTACAAAACATCCTTGAGGTTGAGCTGAGTGCTTACCTAACATGCAAGACCCTGGACTCCATCTCTAATGCTAGAATAAAAAAGAAAAAGAAAAGAATGTATAGAAAACAAAGGGAAAAGAGGAAATCTTTTTTGACATAGCAAGAGCCATCATGTACTTTCTTTCCATTTTTGTGTGCAGATGTTGAGCTTCCAAGGCTATTGGCTGGTTTCTTGTTTTGTTTTTGTTTTTGGGTAAGTCCTGGGGCTTGAACTTAGGGCCTGGGTGCTGTTCTTGAGCTTTTATGCTCAAGGCTAACCCTCTACCACTTGAGTCACAGCTCTACTCTGGCTTATTGATGATTAGTTGGAGATAAAAGTCTCACTGACTTTCCTGCCCAGACTGGCTTTGGACTGAAATACTCAGATCTCAGTTTCCTGAGTAGCTAGGATTATAGACATGTACCACCAATGCCCAGCTTGTATGAGTTACCGATGCCCAGCTTGGCTGGCTTCTAATATGTGTCAGTCACCTTTATGTGATCTTTACAGAATATGTACCACCACTCGCTTCTTGTGTTTCCTCCTCCTTCATTTGTTGGTGACCCCACTGAATCTCTTTCTATCTAAAGAGACCACTGAATGCTAGCTTCCTTCCTTGTGTCAGGTGGATTTCTCCAAAGCTCATTTCTCAGCCTTCTCCTCTCTGCACTGTGCATACATGTGTGTGTGTGTGTGTGTGTGTGTGTGTGTGTGAGTGCATATTCTTCCTGCACCACCAGTCACCAGCCACATCTCTGGTTTGACCTGCAGCAGCACTTGTCAACTCCATGTAATCCACTTGCAATCCAGCTCTACACAGACTTTAGCTATTTCAAAAATCAGCTGCACCTGCAAAAGCCAAATTTTCTGCCACAGATGAGATTCCAAAGACTCCTGTAGGCTTCTCCAGCAGGGTGTGTATACTGACCAGCGAAGCTTTGGAAATCCAGCTGAAATGTGTATAACAGTGCCTTCTTAGAAACACTGGAGCAGAACCCAAGATTTCTCAGAACTCTCTGCTGCCATGCTCAAACAGTTAAGAGACAAAAGACAGCCAGGCACAGGTGATTCATGCCTAAAATCCTAGTAGTCAGGAGGCTGAGATCTGAGGATAGCAATTAAAAGCCAGCCTGGGAAGGAAAGTCTCAGAGACTTTTAATGTCCAAGTAACTAAAAAATAAAAGCTGAAGTGCAGCTGTGCCCAAGTGGTAGAATGCCAGCCTTGAGCTAGAAGACTCAGACCTTGAGTTCAAGTCTCAGGACTGGCGCGCGCATGCGCGCGCGCGCGCGCACACACACACACACACACACACACGGAGCCTGGCACCAGTGGCTCACACCTCTAATCCTAGTGACTCAAGAGGCTGAGATCTGAGGACTGGAGTTTGTAGCCAGCTGGAGCAGAAAAGTTCTTGAGACCCTTATTTCTAGTTACTCAGGAAAAGGTCGGAGGTAGAGGTGTGGTTCAAGTGATAGAACACCAAGCTTGAGTGAAAAAGCCAAGTGAAAGAGCAACCCTGAGTTCAAGCCTCTGTACACAAAAAAGACATCATTTTCCTTTTTAATCATTCTAAGTAAAGGCCTGTAGCCACTGCATTTAGTCTGAGGCACATTATTTAGAAAAAACACGCGTTGCACAGTAGCATACCTCTCCCAACCCCAAATTCCATTGCTATTCAGTCAAGGGACGAGTCTCTTGTCTACTTGGACCCCAGAGGATGCCCTGGACAGCTGTCCCAGCAGCACACTTAGGCTGTTCTGGATGAATCACACACCACAGAACCCACTCTGCACTTGGTGATGTTTCTAAGGAAACATCTTTTCCCTGACAAGCTGTGTGGCCTGGGTGGGATGGGGAGGGAGGAGGATCCAGAAATAGCGAGGTCTGGTCTAACTGCATTGCTCAGCACCCAGAAGCTGAATCAGTTTTTCTAACTCCCAAAGGACTGGAGAAAGAGGTGGGGGCGGAGTGGGAGAGTTGGAAAGCCATTTAGTCACAGCCCCTGGGGACACAGCATCCCACTGTGGGACAAGGGCTCTTAGAAAAGGAGTCCTAACAGGTCCGCCCACCTGTGATGATTCTGCATGTGGAGCCGGCCTGAATGCCACCAGAAGTGTGACTTAGACACTGTTGTGTCTAAGCTGTGACAAGATTCTTAATGTTACCTCATGTCAGTGTTAGCCTGGCAGACTTGGGTAATGCTGGCTCTTTTAAGCAACAAAAGGATGATTTCATCTACTCATGCAGCGTGTGGAATGCTGGCTGGGTTCTGCATGGAGCTGAGGGGGGTAGGGTGACAGTGCTCTCACTAGCTTCTACTTGTATTGGGAGGTTCATAATGAATCAAAGGACTCTGGAGACTCAGGGGCTGAGAAAGGGGAGAGGGAAGGTGGGTGGGGAGGTTTGATAAAATGGTGAAGGTGCAGGAAGGTTCAGAGTTCGATTTGGATGTGTGAACGTGTGACATTGGGGTCTCGTCACATGGAGATGGCCACAGGTGACCAGAGTAGGAAGGGAACGAGTTGTCTTTTAGGAGCCAGGAATTCAAGAAAGATGCTCTAGGCTGTGAAAAATGAGAGCTAAGGGATGGGGGTGGAGACCACTGGCTGGGCTGAAGTGAGGAACTCATAAAGTGAAGCAGCATCCTGGCAGGCAGGGGAAGGGCATGATGCTGCAGCACCCAGGAATCACATTGTGGGTTCAAGTGTGTCTGCAGCCATCGGTGTAAGCAGCTCCCACACATCGCTTTTCTAAATCAAATGGAGGCGCCTCTGCAGAGTCCTAAGCAGGACCAGACCTTCTTGGACTGTAGATCTGTTTTCTCAGACCTAAAGTGTTGCCAACTTTCTCTTCCCTTTGTCTTTCTGCTGTCCAGTTGTGCTGTATTCAGTGCAGATCTTCACAGGGAATGTTCCAGGAGCAGGGACGGACGCTAGGGTCTACATCACCATCTATGGAGACCTAGGGGACACAGGAGAGCGCTACCTTGGCAAGTCAGAGAACCGCATCAACAAATTCGAGAAAGGAACGGTAGGAAGGGCAGTCTGGGTTTACCCCACATTCCTTCCCCTTCCCAGGTCCAGCCATCTTGGGGCCAGCTCTTCAGGGGATGTGAAGAAACTTTGGTTTATCTACTCAGAGCTGATGGAGCAACTCCTCCTTTTAGCATTTCAGGGTCCTTATAGATTCTGAATATCACCTCAATGCTTCACACTATTTGCCAACCTTCATAACTGGCTTTGTATGGCCTGTCAGTTATATCCCCAACAGACCACTAGGTCTATTTCTATAATGTCCCACCCTTTCTCTTGTGTCTATATCTTTCCAAATGTTTGCTCACTTACATGCCCATAAGCTGATAGAAAATAGATAGTGCCGATCTATGGTTTCACATTTCACATAAAAGTCATCATGCTATAAAAATACTTCTTCAGCTTGCCTTTGATATTCAGTGGGATGTCCTGGAAATCTTTCTATATTATATTATTCAAACATAGATGGATCTGGCTCTTCTTTGTAACAAGCACACACATCTATCCCACAGTGAAGGCTGTGCCAGAGTTATTAAGCTGTTCCCCAACTGGTAGACCCCCCAGATGGCTTCCACTTTCCCACTGTGGAAGCAGTCCTGCAACAAACATTGTGTGGACATCTTCCTCTAGGACAGATGTGAACAAGTGGAATTGTTTGTCTCAGGGTGTACCTAATTTTACTCTAATGAGCGCAGCCATTTGCCAGTGCTTCAAGTCATTAGAACTGAGCCAAGCACCCCTGTCATGACCTTAGGTCCCACATCCACTCACCTAGACTCCACCTTCCAAACCTCCATAGGAAGGCTGGGGATGTGGCTCAGTAAACACCCATAGACTCATCCCAAGAGAAATGTGAGCAAAGGCAATTTACCCCCAAGGAATTATGCACACTGTATGTGTATAATTGTGCACTATAAAATGGGGCCATTGTGGAAATGAGGACTTGAACTTGAACACTAAACAAGTTCTAGGTATTTGGGATTGGTGTGCTCATTAACTAGGAAGGTCTATTCAGCCTCCAAATCAAGGATGATCCTAGAGTTGGGGAGGAGATTGAGCTGAGTTTCACCCTCACCCAAGTCCTCATACTTGATTTCTCCAGGCTGACACCTTCATCATTGAGGCTGCTGACCTGGGTGTCATCTACAAGATCAAGCTCCGCCATGACAACACCAAGTGGTATGCAGACTGGTACGTGGAGAAGGTAGAAATCTGGAATGACACCAATGAGGATGAATTCCTGTTCCTCTGTGGGCGCTGGCTGTCTTTGAAGAAAGAGGATGGTCGACTGGAGAGGCTCTTTTATGAGAAGGTACAGGCAAGGCGGTTGGGGCTTTGGCTCAGCCATGACTTGTCACCATCTTGATAGCTGAAGAATAGTCCATTGGGCAGATGGAACTTGAACTACAATGGGATGGGGCCATGCTTTTCTGAACAGGAGTACACTGGGGACCGCAGTAGCAACTGCAGTAGCCCTGCTGACTTCTGGGAAATCGCCTTGAGCTCCAAGATGGCTGATGTAGACATTGCCACGGTAACAGGGCCCATGGTTGACTACGTTCAGGAGGGTCCAGGTAAGCCAAGCAGGGAGAGTTTTAGAAGGCAAACAGGAAACATGGAATTCGTTTGAAGCTGTTCTTGGAAAAGCTGTTCTTTAGTCCAACTGTTGTTGATGAATTCAGTTAATGCTTTATAATTAACAGAATGTTCATATGGAAAAATTGCCTGTTTTAATCTCCCAACAACCCTGGGCAGAAATTAGCCCCCTAGTCAAATGGAGAAGCAAAGGCTAAAAGATGTTGGGTGATGATGTACCTGTGAGGGTGTCTTGGTATACTTTGCCCTTATTCAGACGTATACCTAGAGAACCTGGGACCACCAGACACAAGCTAATAGCAATGGTGGAATCCTCGCAGGTCACCAGCCCACCACTCAAAACCTTTAGCTACACAAAGCAGGATATAGTGAGTGGTAGTGGCCAGGAGAGAAATTCTAGGCCAGTAGTTTGGAGACTCAAACTCCATTTCTGATTCTGACAATGTCTTAGCTTCATTTTTTTCCTTTCTTCATGAAATAGTACCATAGCCAGGGACTACTGGCTCATGCCTCTAATCCTAACTACTTGGGAGGCTGACAATGGGAAGACTGCCATTTAGGGCCAGCTTGGGCAGAAGGGTTCAGGAGAAAGTTTCTCAATTCCTAGCTAGGTGTAGCAGTGTGTTCTTGTCATCCAAAGCTAATATTGGTAGGATTGAGGAACTGGGTCAGCACCAGCAGAAAAAACCCCAAAACTCAGCCTCACCAGAGAGGAGCTAGAGACAGTGATAAGCACCTATGATCTCAGAAAATGAAGTAGGCAGAGCAAAGCTCAGGCACATGGCTAAGACAGCAGAATGTGAAATCCTATCTCAAAATAACCAGCCCAAGACAGGGCTGGAAGTGTGGCTCAGTAGAGAGTACCAGACTAGCAAGAATAATGCCTTAATTCAAACTCCAATACCACCATAAAACACAAACAAAAAATCAGCAGAAAGCAAGAGAGAGAGACAGACAGACAGACAGACAGACACAGAGACAGAGAGAGGGAGAGAGAGAGAGAGAGAGCTCACACAAAACAGCAGCAGCAGCAACAAAAACCAATAACGTAATTTCTGGTAAGCTTATTTTATAAGACCTATTTTGAGGCAAGGCAGCTCCATATTTGTCTATGTATGTAAATGCCTGTCTTCCTACTCAGTTGTCTTAAACATGAGTATGATTGCCATGATATTCCCCCACTTCCAGGACACCATTGGTGGACCTGTGGGGTCAGACAGAGAAAACCAGTCTGCATCTCACCTTCTCACTGTGAATAAGACCCTATTGAAAATATGAAACAAGGCCACTCACAGGTACAGGAAGTAATGCAGGAAACCCCAGCCAGGAAGGACTAATCTAGAAACTTTTCAAAGAGATGGAAATCATATAACCTCACCCAACTACACAGGACAGTGTCTCCCACTCCACTGAGGAAGATGAGCCAGAAGGTTTCCCACTGTATCAACTACTAACTGCAGAGGACAGAGACCTAGAGATACCAGCTTAAAGAAACTTAGAATTTTCTCTTGCATAAAAGTTCAAAGGTAGATCACCCTGGGCTCATTCAGCAGTTCCAGTAAACTCAGGGACATAAGAGTCCTTCAACATGGTCACTCCAGAACCTTTAGAAATGGTTTCCATCCTCAAGATGACTATTGGAGCTCCAGCCATTACATCCATATTCCAAGCAGAATGAATGGAAGGATAGGGACATAAGGGTATTTCTTCCAAGAAAGTCAGATTCAGATTTTCCCAGAAATCCACTTGGCAATAACTACTTACATATTAGAACCACCCTATGCCAGGAGATTGGACACCTAGGAATCTAAGCCATATTACCAGGACATATTTTTAAATATAATTTTAATGTCATTATTAAGGTGTTGTACAGAAGGGTTATTCCTTAAGTTAAGTAATGAGTACATTTCTTTTTTGGACAATATCACAACAGGTATTTGTTGTTGTTGCTCATTTTTATGTGGTACTGGAGCTTGAACTCAGAGCTTTTTCACTCAAGGCTCACATTTTACCACTTGGGTCAGAGCTCCAGTTCCAGCTTTTTGGTGGTTAACTGGAGATAAGATTCGCATGGACTTTCTTGCCAAGGCTGGCTTTCAACTACAATTCTCAGATCTCAGCCTTTTGAGTAGCTTGGATGACAGGCATGAGCCACTGGTGCTTGGCTCCTGAACACGCTTTTATGCTGACTAATCTGGTTTGACTCGGAAACAGATGTCTCCCCGCACTCTCCCTCACCATGTTATATATAGGATACATTTTTATTACTTCTTCCCCAAACTCCTACTTTTATGAGACCTTGCTTTTGCCAACTGTGATCAGCTTCTCAAGCATCTAACTCCCCACCTTAGTGAACAGTTATTGTTCTTACTCTTCTTTACCTCACAGGGCTAAGTACAATTAAGATAATTGGTCAGGAAAGCTTTTGGAAGCTTGACTCATCAAAGAAGTGATGCGCACACTCTTGGATTTTTGAGTTGATCTTCCCACTCCCTCCATCCTGGAGAGTAGATGGGCACCATAGCGGGTGCACAGTCCATCGGGCAGGTTTCATGGTTTTGGTTGCTAAACTGGAAGCTGAGGTCAGGGCACTCCAGAGGTCATTTCCAAGTCTACAAGGGACAGTGCCCTTGTCCTGGGACAGTGCCCTTGTCCAGCTGGGCCCCTAAATCTCTTGCAGTTATTCCTTACTATGTGTCAGTTACCACTGGGAAACACAAGGATGCAGCTACTGACAGCCGAGCCTTCATCCTACTCATCGGGGAGGATGATGAGCGCAGCAACCGCATCTGGCTAGATTACCCTCAAGGGAAGAAGGGTTTCCGCTGTGGCTCTGTGGAGGAGTTCTATGTTGGAGGCTTAGATGTGGGCATCATCAAGAAGATAGAGGTACTGGCTTTGGGGCTTTGTAATGGTGACCATTCTAAAGAAAGGAAAGAGCTGACCAGTACAGGAGGGCAGACAGTACAGTGCAGGCAGGAGAATGACTGGAACCCTTCAGAGCAAGAAGGGAAGGAAGATCTGGGCTCAGCTGCTTGTGAGCTGGATGACTTCGAGTTACCCACCCACTTTGGGTCCCTATTTTCCACATATCCAAGAGAAGGGCTGCGTGTTTTATTTTCTTGGGCTAACAAGTTGCCACCGATGTAGTAACTCAAAACACACAAGTGTATGATCTTTTATGGATCACAGTGTGGATTCCTTGGGGGCACTTCTCAAGGTCTCTGGGGAGGAAAGTGTGTTAAAGCCAGGGCTGCCATCTTGTCTAAGGCTTGGGGGTCCTCTTCCAAGCTCACTGGTTGTTGTCTAAATCAATCATCTTAGGGGTTGTAGGACTGAGGCCTTCAGTTTCCAGGAGTGGATTACCATCCTCCTCCATGTAGCGCTTTCCAAAACCTTTCAGGGAACTTTGCAGGTCAAGAGGAGGGGAGCTCTTGTGCTTCCAGGCTTCTGGGTCTTCCATCTCTGATGTCTGGAGCCTCTTTGAGAGGGCTCACCTGACACAGGCCCACCCAGAGTCAACTTGTGATTAACACAGGTCATCTGCTTAGGGGCTGTCATTCAATCTGCAAAAATCTCCTCACCCTCTTGGGAGGTCCTCAGGCCAAGGAGTGTCAAGCACATTAGAGGAAAACACTGCGGATAGGAGTACACAACAACCAAGGGAACTCTGGGCAGGGAGATTTTTCTTCTGAGTTGTGTCAAGATCCTCACAGAACTTGTGTGCCCACTGCACAGCTGGGCCATGATGGAGCTTCCCCTGAGAGCTGCTGGCTGGTGGAAGAGCTGGGTTTGGCAGTGCCAACCCAAGGCACCAAGTACACATTGCGTTGTAATTGCTGGCTCGCCAAGGACCGAGGTGATGGTGTAACCTCCCGTGTCTTTGACCTCCTGGATGCCACGGTAGTGAACATTGGGGTGAAGGTATGTGGATGTGCCTGCAGGTGGGGACCGCGGCAGAGAGGGAGAAGTGAAGGAAGTGGGAAGGTTGTCACTGGAGTGTCAGAAGCCACCACCGGCTAGTACCACTTAGCTAGGAGCCAGGAATCCACACTATCTTTGCTTTTAGCCTGCTGCTGTGTGAGAGCCTCTGGCTCTCACAATGTAGCAAGTATTGTCTATGCCTTTATCGATGGAAAAGTCTGAAAGACAGGAACCCTGAACTCCTTTCCTTGCTCTTGGCCTTGCTAGCCAAATGACCTGGGACACATATAAACTCACAGTGCAGGCCAAACAGGAGGAAAGCAGGATGTCTGAGTGGCTGGAACCCCAGTATATATAGCCCATTGATGGGCCAAAAGCCTTCAGGTCATAATCTTGCAGACTTCTATTTCTATCTCATCATTGTTAGACTGTTAGAAGGCCCCACCAGTGTAGGTTCGAGGCCACCCCACCAAGGTGAGGAGATGACTAGCCCTGCGTGGGTTGTGTATAGAAATCACAAGAATGAGGGGTATCTTCCCCTCTCCTGCAAAAGAGCAGAATTCCACCACACAACCAGCCTCCCCCTTCCCAGACAGACACACTGTGTCGGTGTGCATGCCATTCAGGCAGGGCCTCCACCCTGACCTACTTCCCACCCTCTAGGTATTTGCATGTGTGCCGCCTCCTAGCACACATCATACCCTGCTCAGGGCAGCTGTGCCCCTCCCTGTCTCTAGGCCAGGAAAATCCACATCCACATCCTTGCTATTCACAGAACAAAAGAACATCGGCTTGTCACTTTACAAAGACGCACAGGGCCCTTTGGATTTGACCTTCTCCCCAGGATACTCGCTAGCAGGCCGGAATGACAGGAGACCTGCTTCTGTCTCTTTTTGGATATATTCTGATTACATAAAGAGGGATGCAGTGGTTGTGTAAAAGGGGAGAAAGATGAACACAGAGCACAGGGGCTGGTGGAGTCACCAAAGCATTTGTTTTGACCGCTCTATTTCCTGTGTCTGTCTGGATGACAGTGAGAGAGGGTGAGGCTTCTTGTTCCCACAAGCCCCTCTTTCTCACCCAGTGTGCCCTTGGAGAATGGTCTGCAATGTTCCTGGTAAAGTAAGAGCTCTTCATGTTGAGCCAGGAACCAGTGGCTTATACCTGTAATCTTAATTACTCAAGAGGCTGAGATCTGAGGATCAGAGTTTGAAGCCAGTTCTGGTAGTAAGGTTCCTGAGGCTCTTATCTCCAGGAAGCTGGAGGTGGAGGAGTGGCAGAGCACCAGATTTGAGCAAAAAAGCTAAGGGACAGGGCTCAGGCCTTGAGTTCAAGTCCTAGCAGCAGTGTGTGTGTGTGTGTGTGTGTGTGCGTGTGCGTGTGCGCGTGCGCGCACGCACACACACACACACCAGCTCTTCATACATTTCTCCACAAGTGTGTCCTGAGTCCTCTGAGGGCCAGGTCTGCACATAATATAACCTTTTAGTGCTCTAGAGAAGGATCTAAATACTGCTAGAAAAGCACCACTTTGCACAATAATGTGACCTCTGTAACCCTGTCCTCTTGGGTTCTGGGATACAACTCTATGGATGGTGGAGACAAGGTTATCTGTACAGGGGAGATGGGGCATGGCAGCAATGGGAGATTAGAGGGGCTAGAGACATTCCAAGTGGATGGACAGTCAGCCTGGCCATTCCCGCCTCTCCTGCACCCTTAGCCTTGCTAGTCTGTGGTAAGATTCAGGACCATAAGACATTCTGGAACATTGACATGGGTGCACTCCTTGCCCAAGGCTGCCTCTCAGAGGAAGAGCAAGGTAGGGCCTCAGTGCGCATGCTCCAGTGGACAGAGGCAAAGTGAATTTAGCCCTTTGGGAACACATGGCAAAATGGTGATCTGCCGTGAAAATTGGATAAACAGGCAACTATCCTACTTGAGTGGCTTGAGGTGGCATTCCCTTCAATGTCACCCCAGGGGCACTCCTCACTCAGACCTCAGGGTGGGCGCTGGCTGAAACCGGAAGTGGGGACCACACAGAACCACGGCTGCTTCCGGAGGCTGTACACGTGACAGGCCCAGAGCTGGCATTCATACAAATTGCCTGTGGCTCCCATAACTCTGCAAAGAGTGTTCCTGTTTCACCACAGGGAAGACAGCACAGTGAGGGACAAAGAGAGCATCCACTCAGTGTCAGCAGATGCAGCTTTGAGATTCAAATGGAGCCCTGGGTGGCTTGTGATACCACTGTCCATCACCATGCAGAGACTCAGAATGGCCAACCCTGGGCTTTGCTGACCATGGAGATCACATCTGTACAACCAGCACTTGGGAGGCAGGTTGGGGTGTTGGCATTTGAGACGAGGCTCAGGTCATGCCCCTTTTGTGGCAGGTGCTTTATGAAATGACAGTGTGGACAGGAGATGTGGTTGGTGGGGGCACTGACTCCAACATCTTCATGACACTGTACGGCATCAACGGGAGCACAGAAGAAGTACAGCTGGACAAGAAGAAGGCCAGGTACCCCAAGTGGGCTAGCCCTAGATCTTCCTCGTACATAGCCCTCTACCCTACCCTTCACACAACCTCACTGGGTCTGTCAAACTCCCTGCACACCAACAAAGGGGGGTTCCAGCCACCACATCTTTGCTCCTTCCATCTCAACTCCTTTCTTTTTCAAATCTTCTTCCTCCAGGAAGCCTTCCATGGTCATCCATAGGAACCCATGGCTATGGTCAACCCATAACAGCTTTCTCCTCCTCTTCTTCCTTTGTTTGTGCAATCCTGTGCAGTCCTCAGATCACTCAACAATGTTGCTTCATTGTTCATTTCCTGGCTTTATCTATTGTCCTGTAGCAATGGAAGCTGCTGACACTAGGGAGGCTGGGTGAAGAGTACAGACTCTTCACCCAATCTGTTAGAAGCAGGGCGGTCTATGTGATTAAATAAGAGAATAGATTTAACTTTTGGGTTGGTCCTAAGTTGGAAATGGGGACAACACAGGGAAACTGGCAGACCCTGCCCCAGTCCTGACCATTCTGAGTCAATTGTGGAAGAGGCCATGTATTCCCCTAGTGCTGCAGAGGTTGTATGTCAGAGTTCAGTTTTATGTATGGCCTGGCTATTGTCCCTTTTCAGCTCAAGTCCAAAGAGTTTCCATCCACCCCCAATTCTCAGATATATTTTTTCACCTAATTATCTCACACCTACAGTCTACCTTATTTTTAAGATAGCCAAGACATCATTGCTGAAGGAAGGGAGAAAGTGAGGGGAATGGGAGAAAGAGAGAGAGAGAGAGAGAGAGAGAGAGAGAGAGAGAGAGAGCATGCACACGTGTTTTCTGGGAGTACCAATATTTCAAAAAATGTTTCTTGAAACCCCAGTATAATAAACACAACCACACTGTAAAATGCTCCTGTTCGAGTGTTTTCTTTTTTGCATAAAGGTTGATTAGTTGATCTGGTTTGCAAGCTCAGGGCTTGCTCTTACCCAGGATGGGGTGTTGGGCTTATCTGTATATTCATGTGGTGGAATGATTTACATGTGCCCTGGAAGACCCATTCTGAGGGTCTACATCTTTTTTACTTCTTTAAATTTTTTGGTAATACTGCAAACTGAACTCAATGCCTCATGCATGCTAGGCAGGTACTTTTACCACGTGAGCCACACTTCTGCCCCGTGTTTTTTGCATTGGCTATGCTTGAGGCAGGGTCTAACATTATTCAATCCTCCAACTTGCGCATCCCCAAATTTCCAGGAAGGACAGCCATTGTGTTTCCCACACAGTTGGGATATCAGACATAAGCCACTGTACTCAGACACTACTTGAGATACAATGCCTGGGCTACTCTCAAACTATAATCCACTGATCTCCACCTTTACTTATCTAGACTAACAGGCTTGAGCCACCATGCCCAGAGAGTGTCTGCATTTTGACTGGGAACCGGGCATGTGTCATTGGTACAGCCTGGTGTTGTGCAAGGTGAAACTTTCCTCAAGAAAGGCAGAGTAAGAGGGTGGAGGCTGAAATACACACATACAGAGAGAGAGAGAGAGAGAGAGAGAGAGAGAATTAGATTTATCTGCTGTGACATTCCTTGTCAGAGACTGAAACCAGGAACCAAAGGTCAACAGACACTAGCAACTAACTCAGCTAGACTCTCCCAAGCTAAGCTCCCCAAACTTGAGTAGATTTTTCAGCTCTGTTAATCATACATGCACACAGTGAGTTAACAAAACAGGATCATCTGTGTTTGACCATGAAGAACACAGCTAAGACGAGGAGTACTTAGCTCTCACTTGGCAGCACTGGCAAGCTTGCTTCCCACTGGCTGTGGCATACTTTTTTAAATGTGTCTTGTATCCAAGGAAGCATGACAATTGCCATTTGGCGTCATCTCTTCAGGGCCACCTGCACTTCCCCAGAGGCTTGTCAGCAGTGTCATCTGGAATCAGTCACCATTGAAGGTCGAGCTGTACAGGTGGCACCGTGGGAAGAGTAATAAAGATAGAGCATCCCTGAGATGATGAAATCATTCGGCAGAAAAAGAAAATAGTGCTAGCAACAAAAGCAACGCTACCTTCTCGCTGCTACCACATTACAGTTGTCAGAAAACCTCTCAGTCTGGAGACACGGTGTTCAACTGTACCCACTGTGTATAGGAAACTGGGAGAGCTATCTTTTAGCCTTGGGCAGTGCGCATGACCTCCCCCTCCATTCATGGTAGCTCTGCTGTGCACGGAATCTCATTTGAAGCTTCTCAGATATGAAATCCTCTTTGACTTTAAAGAGGATTTCATATCCATTTGGTCTCCACAACAGCTGTATGACATTGCAGGGTGAGTGACTACAGGTAAGGAAACCCAGACTCGAGATTGGAACTGATCCAGATGACAAGCAAATTAAATTAGAACCCAGAACCCATGGCTCAGAGCCATGTCTATCAGTGAAACCTGCTGAACCCAACCTTTGAGAAACTGCAACTGGTGCCCAAAGGTGGGCAGGTAGGGAAGTTTCTGGGAGCAGAAATGGGCCTGAGTAAAGACCCCATCTGTCTTCTCTCCTTATCCCAAATCAGGTCTCTGGCCGGAGGCGGTTTCCCTTCTTCACCCTCTTCCTCTTGCCTCCAGGTTTGAGAGGGAACAGAATGACACCTTCATCATGGAGATCCTGGACATTGCTCCTTTCACCAAGATGCGCATCCGCATCGATGGCCTGGGCAGCCGGCCAGAGTGGTTCCTGGAGAAGGTACGGCGCCTGGGCCCCACCTGCCCTAGCAAGCCACACCCACATGCGCCCACACTGCCTCTCTCTGCTCCTTGGTGTACCTAATTACAAGGCAACTGTCACTTACGAGAGTTATTACATGACCCAGCTACATAATCCCATACGCTGGAATGAAGCAGATTGTAGGTTTATTTATTTGTGTCCAGTGGATCTAAATGCTGCCAACAGAACACAGTATGATGTGGGTGGAGCCTGAGTTCAGAGGCCTGGCAGTGCTTCCTGGGTGATGGGAGTTGTAGGGGCTGGGAGAGAAGCTCAGGAATTGAGACAGAGAGGATACAACCTAGTGATGGGCAGGTAGGATGGTGCAAAGCTTCTGGTGACCCTGCAACCATGGAGTAGGTGGCTGCCAGCTTTTGCACCTCCTCAATCTCATCCTGGGGAGCCCTCCAGCAGCAGCTTGGCTCCCAGGCTCATCAGCATGTGCTGAGAGCAGCTTTGGGTCTGGGATGCTCAGACCTTCATTTCTTTCCCTCACACACATAACGCACAGACATGCCACACAATACACCACACACACAGTCCCAGACTCAGTTTCCCCTGAGGAGGAAGGCAAATTCTCCTTGTGGCCTTATTTTCACACGAAGCTGGGCCTCCACACTGCTGCTGGCCTTAACCATCTACACTCCCTCTGCAGCAGAGGAGACTCCCAGAAGCTCAGCCAAATGCTGTGTTTTGATGGGAACATGTGATATGAGGTGTTCCTGGTGTTCCCAAGCAAGGTGTGGACCCAAGCCAGAGGAGCACTGCTGCAGCCCCCCGCCAGCCATAGCAAGGACAATAGCTCTATGACAAAGATAACAGTGCCTCAGTAAACCTCTATACCACGTGGCTCTGGGCTCCAACACAGTGGGGCTGGTGTCAGACCTCCTTCCTTGGGCAGTGTTAGTGTCCTGTTGTCTCATGACAAAGTGCCTTGGGTGGAGGTGAGCAAAGACAAAAATTGATTTTCACACAGTTCTGGGACAGGTGAAAGGATCTATAGGATTGTCAGGGTCATGATCCTTCTGAAGGCTCTGGAAAGTATCCGTCTCAGGCCTCCGTCCTAGCTCTGGCAGACATGTCTGGTGGCAGTGTCGCACCAGTCTTCATGAGGCACCTCCATGAGTTTGTCTCTGTGCCAGTTTCCCCTGAGTTCTATTGGATCAGGGTCACCTTAATAACCTCATCTTAACTGCTTGTACCATAGCAACCCTATTTCTAGATGCAGTCATAGCAGGACTGCAGGATAGGACTTCAACGTACAAATTTGAGGGTGCAGTGCACAATTCTGTAACTCAAAACCTTCTTCTCATCTGCCTGGGTCAGTTTGCTCTTCTCTCATCCACCCGAAGCCATCTGTCCTGTGTCCCCTTAGGCTCTTCCTCCCTCATTTGGCCAAAAGCAGACTTTTCTTGAGTAACAATATGGTGCCCAGGCCCAGGACAATGTGGTAAACACAGGTACCCTGCTCCAGGTGTCTGAGACTGATGGTGGTTTGATTAGTCTATTTTCTTGCCAGCGAGTAAACATTTCCTATGGACATGATCATATCTCTCAGGATTTTTTAGGTGGATTTTCAAATCCCAAATCCTGTGGGGTTTACAGACACAGATCTGAAAGAAACATGGAGCAGAGCCCTCTCCAATTCTGAGTCAGAACTCACACAGCTCTGGATCCTCGGGTGGCTGGTTTGGGTAGTAGGTGATGGGGTCAGAGAGGATATGTCCACAAGGGTCCCTCTACAGGTCCTGCTGAAGAACATGAACACCGGAGACCTGACCATGTTCTACTACAGAGACTGGCTGTCCCAGCGGAAGGGCAAGAAGACCCTGGTGTGTGAGATGTGTGCTGTCATCGATGGGGAGGAAATGATGGAATGGACGTCCTATACTGTCACAGTGAAGACCAGCGACATCCTGGGTGTGTTGAGTCCCCCACTTCTCACTATCTGGGCCCTCACCCTCAAATTGTGTGGCTCAGGACTTGAGTTCTGGTTGTTTCTATAACGTGTCACTTTCTGTTGGGACAAAACATTTCGTCCCACTGACTGAATTGCTCCTCCTCTGCTCCCTCAGGGAAGTGAGGAGAATGTTTGGGGGGAGGGAAGGGGGCCCATGGCTTTGAAAAGATGTAGGAGCTTGTGTCTTCTCCTCACCCAGGTGCTCGTCATCTTGGGTAGGTACATCGGTGGGTTTGGACAGTCATTACTGTGTCTTGGCAAGGTCCCTCTGGGGGCTCTTGCAGTTCTGGAATTCTGGTGGGATCAACACAATGTGTATGGCAAGGCTCTGACTAATTCATGCCAGCTCAGGTACTGCTGGGGAGCTCAGATAGTGTGTCTTTTCACCTGAGATCACGAGTGGAGGCTCCTGGGGAATTTCCAGTGGTGATGCCAAAGTCAAGTTGAGAAACACAAAGAGAGCCACTGACTGACACAGAGGAGGCACTCAGAGAAAGCTCACAAGCAGAAGTACGCCACAGCCTGCCACTTCACCACAGACACAATGCCTCTGCCTCCCCCACTCGCAGGGGCCATTGCAAAGAATCCGGCAAACACATTTATACTCCTTCACACCAAGGATTAACCTGTTGGCCACAGTAGCTTATGTTTTCAACAGAGAAACCTTTAGTCAAAGGATTAGAGCTCTCACAGTCGAATCTCAGGCATAAAGGAGGTCGGGAAATCTGGTGGAGTTCCAACTGTTCACATGCTTTTCATCCCTCCTATTCCCTGGTGGATTCCCAGTAACTAATTGCTACAATCATTGGTAACAGTTGAGTGAAAAACTTTACAAGGCCACTTCTTCCAGAAGCACTGATTCTGTGTGTGTGTGTGTGTGTGTGTGTGTCTGTCTGTCTGTCTGTGTGTCTGTGTGTGTGTGTGTCTGTCTGTCTGTCTGTCTGTCTGTCTATGTGCTGGTCATAGGGCTTGAACTTAGAGCTTCACACCCTCATTTGACTTTTAAAAGCTTTTTTTCTTTTTTTATTATCTTTAAGTAGTTATACAAAGGAGTTGCCATTTAATAAAGCACTTTATGAATACAATGCATTTTGATCCATATCTTGCTTTTCAACATTCTCATCCATCCTTCTTCCCCAAATGATTCCTTCCCTCACTCTTCTTGAATTCATAGGGTATATATTGAATTCTTGACTATATTCTCTCCCCTTTTCTCCTTTTCATTTGTCTACCTCTTTCCCCTTGACCTCACCTGCCCCTTTCGAGTACCCACTTCCTGATGTTATTCCTGATGTTTATTTTGCCTTTCTAAGGAATCACACTATTTGAGTTCTCCCTTGTTTTCCTCTTTTGACATTTTTGCTCTCAGATGGCACTCTACCTTTTGAGCCAGATCTCCAGTTCTAGCTTTTGCTGATTGCCTGGGCAGGCTTTAAACCACAACCCTCAGCTCTTAGCCTCCTGAGTAGCTGAGATTATAGGTATGAGCCACTAGTGCCAACCTAAGCACTAGCTTTTTAACTGAGACCAATATCTCTGTTTGGCTTAAGTAAATGATATATAACTGTAACAAAATGTCTGTCAGAGGTAGGCCACAACCTTCCTACTTCCTGCTCAACCTACCTTGTGCAAGAGACAGCCTGTATTATTAAAGTCAGTATACCTGGCATGGCTTTTAAATTTGGGAGCATTTCCCCAGAAATAGACACATTTTTGTACTAAAAAAACTAAAGTCATAGTTGCTATGACTACAGTTAGAGCCACAGCCTATGTAAGACACAAAGAGAAGCTGAAGCATAGAATTGGAGACCCAGGAGTTCCAGGACACATACTACCCCTTTTTGAACTACTTCTGGCCTTGTCAATTCTGAACACTGTCCCCTTGGGTCCTCTGAGGTATCTAGGAGCAAGTTTAGAGCAGGAGGGCTGTGTGTGAGAGCAACTGGTACCCAATACCTCACTTATTCACCCTCAGGAGCGGGCACCGATGCTAATGTGAGCATCATCATCTTCGGGGAGAATGGAGACAGTGGGACCCTGGCTCTGAAGCAGTCGGCGAACTGGAACAAGTTTGAACGGAACAACACGGATACCTTCAACTTCTCTGACATGCTGAGCCTGGGCCACCTCTGCAAGCTGAGGGTCTGGCATGACAACAAAGGTAGCTCCCTGTCAAGGCCTAGGTGGTGAAGGGCAGCCCTTGGCTCTCTCCAAAGGCGCCCCCTTTAACAGTATGTAGACACTGCTTACTTAGCAGTGAGGTGGCTGGACAAGGTTGGTGGTCACTATTCAGATGTTCCCATCAGTTTGGGAGCAGGTGCTTCTTGGCTAATGCTACAAGTAGAGCTTAGTTTCTTCTGCTTTCTCCCTGGGTGATAAGTGGCTTTTTTTGAAATCTGTGAATGAATTCTACTTAGTTTAGTCATTAAAAAATTTAAGGGAAAACATGGTTGGGCTAAGGGCTAAGGGTATAGAGCTTGAGTAACATTTGTAAGGCCCTGAGTTCAACCCTCAGGACTGCAAGAGCAAAAAGGAGAAAAGGAAGAAAAAAAAGGGAGAGGTGGGAGGCAGGCAGGAAGAAGTGAGCTCACCAAAATCACTTCCCATGGATGTTCTATAAGGAATTCACCAATAACAGTGAACTTAAGTGTAGCTTCTTCACTGATGACTATCAGCTAAGACATAGGATAGATGCCAAGTGCGAACTTAATCTTTTAATTTCCGAGTTTATAAGGAGGACTTGGTCACATCTGGAACTGTGATGAAATTCATGTCCTCCACATTGCTTTATCATTTTTCCAGTCTTCTGGTTTCCCTATTTTATCTGGCTTGGGGTCTTCAAGTTCTACTTGACATTTTAGAGTTGAATGGTTTCACTGGCTTCATGCTTGCTGCTCCCCTAATCATCTTCCTTGCCGTGTGTTGGAAGCAGCCTTTGCCAAGCCACCCACAGAAGGCCTGCAGCCTTTGCTCACTCTCCCCGACCCCAGGCTCCAGAGCTTTCTGCAGGTTGTGCTGAAACCCACACTGCACAGCAACCTATGCATCTCAGTCACTGGTGACACCCAACCCTCAGCAGCTGCCACCCACTTTCTTGAAGGGGTCAACACACTGTGAGGCCAGAGGGCAGAGGGTTTCCTGCCTCTCTCCCAGTCAGGCCAGAAAAGTGAATAGGGAAGAATTTCACAGTGACTAGGATGGATCTCTCTTTTTCCAGACAAGAAGATAATGTCAGGGCCACTTATAGTAGGAGCCTCTATTTTCCTAGGTTGTGTACCTTTCCTTCCAATCTAGGAAAGTAGAGACTCCTCTATTTGAGAGTGCTCCAAAACAATAGTCACATTTCAGTAATCAGAGATCCTGTTTACTTCCAGCAACATCTAACATCCTCTCTTCTTGTTTTTCTCCTCCTCCCTGGTAGGAACTCTCCTTAGCCAAAACAAGTAGTCCAGATCATTCTCTAAAGCCTGACAATCCCCCTCATTTTAATATTGGTACAAGCTGACAAACCAAGTTACAGTAGTTATTCACAGTAAGTGTGTTGTTCTGGAGGTTTAAGTCCATGATAGATTAGCCACATTTACTTGGGCCTAGGGTGAGGCATAAACCATGGCAGAAGTACATGGCAGAGAAAAGCCACTCACATTGGGACCCAGGGAGCAAAGAAAGAAGAAGCTGGAGTCTCATTATCACTGTCAAGGGCACATCCTCAATGACATAATGAGCTCCCATCAAGCTCTACTTCTTAAAGATTCACCCACCTCTTCATAGTACCAGCCTTTGGGGGACATTGAAGATCCAGACTATAGCAGACAATATTGAAGCCAAAATAAAAGAGAATGAGAAATCGGTGGAGAAAAGACCAACTTGAGGGAAATAAGACAAGGGAGAATCCCCAAATTTGATATGGCTGTTAGATCACAAAATGGAAAGGGAAGCTGGAGAAATTATCTCTATATTTTGTACTTGTAAATTCAAATGTGTTCTGGGAGGAGAGCCTCATATGAAAGCCTGTCACTCTGAGGAATATCCACCATTCATGAAATCTCAAGTAGTGTCCTCTTTCTATACTCCATAGTTCCTTGGACATAAATTTAGCAGTGGAAACAGGAAGCTACATGTTTTTCAAATAGCAAAGCAACTGAGACATTTTAAATGCCCATTTCTTCCTAGTGAAGTCCTAGAATCCCTTGCTAAGGACTTTTGGTACATGGCCTAACACATAAGTCAATGTAATAAAGAGAAAGGAAAGGGAGATGAATAGCATTTTGTCATTTATAAATTCAGTGGCGTAAAGCACACAACTGAATGTCTCCAAGCATTCTCATAATAGATAGTGTGTGCTTGGCTAATAGGTTGATCCTAACTTTTATATCCAAGATCCCCACAGTCCTGAGTTCTGCTTGGTGGTAACTGGGACTCACAAAACAACAAACTGTTCTCTAGGCATGAAAATTAGGAAAATTAGAAAAAGTCTACAGTTGTATGCATCACAGACAAACTTCTGACCCCACTCTAGACTTTCCTAACCCTTGTGACCTAACTCCCACCTTGCATCCTACAAGATTATATCTACCCGTCCATATTCTTATGCTGAAAGTTCACTGAAAGTTCTTCTTATTGTCATACCTTATTTGAACACCTTCTAGTCAGCATGTTTTTAGGTCCATTTTGTTTCCTTTACTTTATCAGCTTCATGAGTTCAGCTGTCTTGTTCTTTTCCTGGTGTCTGCCACATTATCTCTGATATAATAGGGGATATAACGCAGTTTAATAGAATTTAGTTACACTTTTCTTCTAGTCTCCTAAATCCTTCCCTGAACCTTCATGCTTCTGTGTTAAGGACCTCACATGTTCCCAGAACCAATTTTGGTGTGCCTTGGTGCATTAAAAAAAAAAAAAAAGAATCCTGGCCATAAACCTCAGGCTCCTAACCAAGTTCTTTAAAACCAGGTATCTCTCTTCCTAGTCACTGATTGTGCACACATCAGTGTATTTCTCGGTTGTCTTGATGCATTTTTCCACTGTGCAAAAACCTCACAGCCAGTTAGTTGAATCCTTCTATCCCATCATTGTCAAAATGCTGCAAGAGGAGGAAGACTGATCAGCACCATGGTCAGTTCCGTGCATTTAGATGCTAGATTCTCCGAAGAGCTTGACACTTACTACATGGCTACCATGGATATTAAAGACTGTCTAATGATCTTAGCTCCATGTGACTCTGAAACATAAAGAAATTCCAAGTCATTAATATGACTTATGAGCAGACAAGTGGGCTTTCTCATCTTGAGCCAAACTTTGAGTATGAAAGCAGGATCTTATCATTGGTAGATCTTGAGGCTCAACAAGGAAAAGAAGATTTCTGAGTCCTTACTGGGCTTCCATAGTTGAGATATTAGGCTCAGGAGAGGAGTAGAGAATTTGGGGTCCTAACTTCCTTTTTATAGTAACTTCCAGGGATGGAAATTTAGATGTTAATATAAGCTGAGGCAACGTGTCTTTAAAGCTGTCTCTTTGCCACATTTTCTTTATATTTAATTCATAATTTTTCTAGCTACATTATTCTTTTCCTTGCATAGAAATTTATGAGGACAAATAATTTTTGTTTGAGAATCTTCCAGGAAAAGGTTAGGATTCCTGAACAAATATCATAGAAGTCACGAGTTAACTTAAGTAATGGCGATATTCTTTGCCTGAACCTACACTTTCAATATTTCTTGCTGTTGCTGCTTGTTGAACCAGTGGTGCTTTTGTGAAAAAAATTAATCATGTACAAATGTGAAGGAAATAGTAAAATGAACTCCCACTTACCTATCCCCTAAGTTCAACAATCATTATGTTTTATCACATCAGCTTTAACCTTTTCCATTTTTCTTTTGGTTGCTGAAGGATATGAACTCAAATCCTAAACTTTGTGTCATTTCACCCTACACATATTTATTATGGTTCTCTTTTTATTTTACTTGTTTGTGCTGGCCTAAGTACTTTCCCTTAGCTTTTTGCCTCAAGGCTAGCACTTTACCCCTTGAGCCACAGTTCCACTTCTGGTTTTTGGGGGGTGTTCAATTGGAGATAAAAGTCTCACAGATTTTCCTTCCCTGGCTGGCTTCAAATCCTGTTCTTCAGAACTCAGCCTCCTGAGTGACTAGGATTATAGGCACAAGCCACAAGCACTCAGTTTATGCTTCTCTTTTTTTTTAATTTTATTTTATTTTATTTGTGAACATACTGTACAGAGGGGTTGCAATTGCATGGGCAGGATAAAGCGTACATTTCTTACCAAGCATTGCAGCCTCCTCCTTTGTTTACCCTTC